TGTAAACAAAGTGAATTGTTCAGCATTCCATATTCTCTGTAATGTACTATTATTCAAAATTTTATGTAAACGCGATGACGACGTGTTAGAGAGACAAAAAGTAAAAAATAGTGCCGAAAACCAAATGATAACGAGCTTTATGGAATATATGGATTAAAATATATTAGAAAATAAAAATCGAACTGTGGTTCATAGATGTTATTTACAATTTATTGAATATTTAATAATTGACCGTTGCATTATAAAGGAAAGAGTCCGAGGAGGCGGTCATAAATGTGCTTTTTCGCTTAGCTGAACACACCTCCCTGAAGAAGACCTGCAAAGTCGGGTCGAAACGTTGGCTTTTAATAAAATAGTTTTGCCACTATTTAGCCTATTTATGACCATTTCCCAGGACCATCTCCTTCATTTTTAATTTATATTTCACATTATTTATCTCGTCTTGTTAATTTTTTCACTTCTATCGTGTGGTAGAAACCTTAGTTTTTTTTTTTCTTCTAATGTATTTCTGTCGTACAAGAAATTGGTATTTTAATTATATTGTAAAAAATCTGAGAACAAATAGAACCCGAACATATCTATTTTTTCTTTTGTGTAATCAGAGGAAAGATTGATGGGTTGAGCAATGGCTTAATAAGATGTCACTTTTGGTTACATCCACAATAAAGAATAACTCGCAAAGATGCTGGATCAACCTTCATGAAAATATTGATTCTTGTGGAAAAGCGTGAGATAAAGAGATGAAGTTCTATATTTCTCATCAAAGCCCTATTCTTTGTTTGGCACCTTTTATCTGGAGGATGATGAGGCATCGATCTGTCAGTTGTTGGATGAATGCATTTCCAAACTATTATGCATTTATTGCGCAGTGCAAGTTGTTATTGTATTTTAGCCTTCATTGTATACTGAACAATTTGTTTTACTTTTTTATGCTAATGTACGAATTCTAGGATAATTTTTTTTGTATGTTTATTTTTTATCAATTCAAAATTTCCATAAAAATACTATTAAAAGTATCCCGATATCCTCTCTTGTAGGAAAATACTAGACAAAGAAGCACTGAAAATGGAATTAATGTCATTTAGAAACATAATTTTCAAAACCAATGAAGTTTGGACCATCTTCCTTTTTTAAGCCTCTTTAGGCGTGCTTTGCACATTATCTTGTGGATAGTGAATGAAACTGAGCCGTCATGCTCGGATATGTAACGCTCATTCGGTTAAAGTCGGCTAATTGAAGTGATTTCGCATTTAGATTAAAATATCTCAGAAATTAAAAATTGGACCTTCGTTCTGTATGAAAGGGAATATTCAACATTTCAACCCCTTTGTAGTGAACTATTAATTTAAATTGCATCTTAACGTGACGCCGTGTTTGAAAGCCGGAAAAAGAAAAATATTTTGACAAAAATATCTCAAAATTTAAATACCATAGATAATTCAGAAACCTATTTGCGGAAGCCAATACAGATATATATTTTTTTTACTTTGCCATAAAAATGAGAAATTATGTGTTTTTATTCGCTTTTCTGTTCCGCTCGATAGAGTTTCGAACAAAAAATTGATCCTCGTTACAGAAGTTACATTAAATAAAATGGCGGAGTTTTTGTTAGATATTTGGGAAATAGATTTCGATTAAAAGTATCCATCACATATTTTAGTTATCATATACCTATTGCATCACTTTTGAAGTATGATATAAATTACGGTCAGTCAGAGCAAAGCTTACTAGAGTAATTTATACATACTGTATATAGTTTAAATGTTATTAATTTGTGAATATAGAACAAAACATAGTTTATTTCAACTATAATTGTAAATGTTATAAATGATATTACTTTGTTGATATAGAAGAAAAAAAATTATATTACATATTATTAATCTCGCCTTGATGTTTTCACTTATATCGTGTGGTCTAAAGCAGCGTAGTTTTGTTGTCATTTTTTACGGGTAAATAGGAAATTAGATACGTTATTACTTCAATTATCTTTGTTTCAAAACTGAAATTTCTTAACAAACTGATCATGAAAATATTTTTATTTTGGACTCAATTTCATGGTATGCGTGTTGTTCTTTTTGACATCTAATGCTTCCACTGATGTTCCTTTACAAGAATAGCAATAAATTGAAACTAAATAAAAATAAATTAAACGCTGTAGCCCCTGAATATATTTTGCATCACAGCAGTGCAATGTAGCCTTGCATAACCGATAGCCCAAGGCGCTATAATTCTCAATACATTTCTTGATATATGGAAATATGAACACCCTAAATTATTTTTGAGTAATTTAGTTATTAATAAGACCCGGATTTTCATTAAAATACATCCTTTTATTTAATAATTCTTTTCTAAATCATTAGTCGGTATATTTACGAAACGAGTCCTTATAAATATTTTGTCAAAATCATTTATGTAATTTTTTTTGCATATTTGGTAAAATTTTATTAATGTGCATATTTAGGTTTGAATTGAATATATTATGCATACTTTAAATTATATCTGACATAAAAAAAAAATTGAATAGCTTTTAATTTTAATTTTATTAATTTTTGACATAATATGTTTTATCAAATTACTTTTCATTCTAAAATTACTTGTTCCATACCAAATTTATTAATAGATAACAATGTATTCTGATAATTAATGTATATCTAATCTAAAAATGGTACTCCAAGAAAAGTTCTTTTACCTGCAAAATAATTTATCTATTTTGGTCTGGTTTGAAAATGTGTAATGTGATTTTTAACGTAATTTTGAATAAACAACTACCTATGAAAAGTATATAAAAAATATTCATAATATTTTTAACAACTAATATACTCTTTTGTGTCCTTTGTCAAGTTCTATTAATTCCAATAAATTAAAAAAAAAAAATGAAATCGTATGATTATGGCATGAATTTGAAATATTATACCTAACTTAGCATCAAAACTTTTTCTAAATTGCAGCATTCACTATAATTTATAATAGCCCAAATCCAAAGCAATAATATTTCATCTCAGTTTAAAAAGAAGAGACAAATTTATTGCTGACTTTTGACTTCCTTTAACATAATTTTTAACATTCCCATTGAGTGGATTTAACTGATATGTTATCCCTCAAGTGCAATCCAATCTTTTCATCAATTGTCCCTTGTAGATGCAACTTGTTTATTTCCTGAGAAATACGAAATACTAATAGAATTATTACTTTCTACATTAAGAAGAGTGCTTTTTTTAATAAAAATAAAAGTAAATTTATAATATTAAATTCCGATAATTCATTTGATGTACGAATAGAATGCGTAAGATTTATTTTTTTATGTAACATTTCTAGTTATGTATGACATTCCCGAAACAGGCAATCTAGGTTCGATATTATTTTTTTTTTCAGATCTCATTGCATAAATTTGATCGAATTTTCTATTAAATATTACTCAAATTAATTTAGTGCCAGATATATCAGTGAGTCAAAGAGAAAGACACTTTCACTGCTTTGAAAATAGTGAAATCGTAAAATAAGTAATATATTTTAGTACATAACATAGTATAAGGCAAAATACGACATATCGTATCATGTTATAAATATAAGATATTTTTATCTATAATAACGTATAATATTCATTATATTTCACGTATAATAAAACATACGGAATCTTAACGAGTTTGTCATATTAAATAAAAATGTTTTTAAAAAAAGGAAAAATATGATTGATTTTTCTATTTCAGAAGTAAGTCAGCGTCTATCATGTAATATTCCTAAGTACGTATTCAAGAGGAAATTAAAATGATTTTTCCAACTATATTACCATCTTTCTTCCCCTTAGATGTTTTTCACAATCAAAAGATAATGAAAGTAACAGCATAAATTATATACATATTAAACAAATATCGAAAGTTACTAACATGAACAGTATATAAATCCGTCTTCCATAAATTCAATACAAGAAGAGATGGGTATCTAATTTCGATGCTTATAGTGTCAGTAGTATTACTATTCTACCGACCTAGTGGTCATTAGAGATAATACATTGCTTATAGAATGAGACGAGGAAGGATTCCTGTAGAACTTTAAGGAAATAAAATTGAATATTTTCCTCATCTACTAACACATAAAATATTTTGCGATTACAAAAAAACACATTGGAAAATATATAATTAAAATTTGTATTAATACATTTAAAACAAAACTTATCGGGACAAACGTAACGATTAAATACTTTCACCAGATATTTAAAGTTGATAACGTATTTATTTCAAATATAAATTCTATTGAAAATTTTATAGATAGTGTGGTTAAGACCAATAAAAAATGCAAAACTTAAATAGAATTCCTTCAAAAATGCATACATTTTTTTCAGTAAAAGAACATTAAATAACCACTCATTAATATAATGTTAAATAGTAGCCATAATTGTATAATATTATAATTACTTTACATCACGGGCGGATCTACAGGGGGCTTTCGGGCTGAAGCTCCCCTAAAATGATAAAATATAACCATGTTTTATGGAAATTTTTTTTAAAAATACCTCTTAAAGTATTATTGTTCCTGTAATTAGTTTCTTTCTGTTTTTCCAAAGCACTAGCGGATCCAGAATTTAATTTTGGGGGGCTTCAGCCCGAAAGCTTTTTTTTTTTTTCATAAAAATGACGATAATTACTTTGGAAAAAAGAAAGAAACTAAATATCTATATGAAATGGTGTTTAAGTGATTCCTTAAGCCCTTTAAAATGTAATTGCACGAACAATAATACTTTAAGATATAATTTTTTAATATATTTTTCCCTAAAACATGGTTATATTTTACCATTTTGGGGTGAGGGGCTTCAGCCCGAAAGTTATAATTGATTGCTTTCTGTTGTAAAGTTATTAAAAAAAGAATTGTTAACTTATGATCCATCACATTCGATTCTTCGCAACAGACATATCGATACTATTACGATAGAATCATACGATGTATCGAAAATTACATCGATATATAATGCTATCTCTTGTCATATCAGTTTACATACATTCAATGAGAAAGTGTGGTGTTTCTATTGACACATTTACTTATTTCTTCAGTTTTAATGCCAACATGGGAAGAAGACATGATGCAGGCAACATGTTCCTCTTTTGGAGTAAGTTTTAGTAATATCAATAATAGAAACACATATATCTCATAATTAAAAACCGAATTTTGCTTTGATTGTATGGTTTTGTCAAATTTATTTGGCTCTATGGGTGTCTTTATAAAGCCATATATCCATATTTATATGAAAATTGATCTTGAGACTATGTCTGTTAACAATTTCTTCATTGGTTCATCTGATTTTTCTATTGACAACAATTTTTTAAGTTAATGCATCCAACAAATTCTTTGGCTCAAATTGTAATGTACTTTATTCTCTCATAGCACACATGAAAATCGTTCAAATTATTAATGTGATCTTTATTTCAATGTTTCATCTAATTTGTTTACTAGTTAAAACAACCTAAATATTTTTTAGCATTATACCCTAATTTGACTGTATAGTTGTTTAATTCCACTTCTTTTTTTTTTTTTGCCTCTGTGACTGATAAATTATATGTATGTATGAATGTTCCTTTTTCTCTTGGAACATTAATGTTTTAAATATAACTATTTTATTTCTAATCTCAACTTTTTTATTTTTCTCAGAACGAAGAAGAGCCCCTCTTAGGCAACATGAGGCAGGTTATTGGGATAAGTTCCCAAACATTAGTTGATGAAAAGAAATCTAGCCGACTCCCCCAATATGTCGCTGCTCTCATTGGTAATAATATGATCTATCATAAGATATTACTCATATTTCCTGTATATTTATATGAATGATCTGTTATAAATTTTAAATTACTGGATTGCTAATTCAATGAAATGTATAAAATCTATATTATTATATTATATTTCAGCAACTATTGGTGGTTTTGTGATGGGTACTGTATTAGCGTGGACTTCCCCTACCTCTGCAACATTAGCAATACAAAAAGATATTGCTATATCAGATCTGGAGAACTCACTTATTGGAGGTATCACAAATGTCGGAGCCATGATTGGAGCAGCTGGAGGTGGACTTTACTGTAACTTTATCGGTCGTAAACGGGGACTTATGGCCATTGCTATCCCTTCTATAATCGGTTGGTGTTTAATTATGTGGGGAGACAGTGTACGTAAAGTTTAATACAATATTTTTGTTGTATATCTGTACTATGTAAAAATTTTAATTTGTTATTGTAACTTTAGGTCGCTCTTATCATAGCTGGAAGAGTTGTGCTGGGTATTGTGATGGGAATATTAACTGTTTTATGCCCATTGTTCACAACTGAAATAGGAGAGAATTCAATTAGAGGAACGCTTGGAACTTATTTCCAACTTCAGGTGACACTTGGAATTTTCTTCGATTATGTTGTGGGTAGCAATGTAAGTTTCACCTGATGAATAAATATTGTTTATTAAACCTTTTTTTTATTTCTTGTAATAGAAGATAACTTTTTTATTACTTATTTTTTAATTTATTTTGTTTCTTTCAGGTAACCAGTGTCTTTTACTTTTCTCTTATATGCGCTGTTTTGCCTCTGATTTTGGCTGGCTTGATCACCTTTATGCCTGAGACTCCTCAGTTTTATTTGATTAAGAGGAATGAAGCAGCTGCCAGGAAATCATTACAGTGGTATAGAGGGAAAAATTATGATATAAATGATGAAATAACTGGTATGAAAGCTACTATTGAAAAGGTAAGATATATTAAATTAAATTAATGTTAAATTAAATTAGATTATTAAGTTAAAATTAATTTAATGCTGTTGTTTAAAACTAGTTTATCTGTACAAGATCTTTCATTGGCAATAATGCTATTGTTTAAGTATATTGGTTTATCTTTGCAAGATCTTTCGCTTTAGATATTTACTCTTCTTCTCCCTAATATATTTGAAATATAATAATAATAAGGAGAAAAGTCTCTCTCTCTCTCTCTCTATTATATAAAAAAGTTTTTTGTGATGACCTTATAATATTTTATTTTACATATACAAAGCTGGACGGACCGTAATGGAAAAACCTCACTTCTTATTCTCAAAATTATTTCTCCCTTATCATGGTTATAAGTTGGTAATAAGAATGATCACAATTATACAACAATATAAATTTACAATAAGCCGTAATGTATAAAATATATTATTGAAGAAATTAAAAATTTGTCTGAACTTTTGTTTCGTTTATATTATGTTGATAAAAAATCATACAATATAAACTACAGAATACATGTAAATTACTTGTATACAATTTGAACAACTAGCAGTACAATTAAATGAACAGTTATAAAATTGGGGTTGACCAGGTTAGGGGGTAGAGCTCCCTAGTTTATATAAAGCATATGTTATTATCAAGACAGTCTATTTGACAGAACTACTGAGATCCAATGTTTTATAATAATTATGTTGAAGTAACTGTTGACTTAATAAGAATTAACTTGCTTGATAGGAAAATACCTCAATAAGACTCAACAATTTCTGTCCATTAACTAAAATATCCTAGTATTGTAATCAATGGTTTAACCAGTGTTTAAGTTTAATGGCTAAAATTTCTTACCATGATCCCATGATTTTTTTTAAACAGTTTGAGCAGAAAAAAATTTGGTTATATTTTGAATATTCTCAATGTTTTGTTGGTTTAATATATCATGGTGGTTAGTTAGTTAACTAATGTTCACATGTGACCTTACAGCTCCATGCAATTTGGCCTCTGATTTTCAGTTATTTTACCAAATTTTCAATGTGTGAATTTCATTTAGGCTTTAATTTAAATAATTTCTGCTCCTTCAATAACCTGAATTTATTTGTTTACTATTTCAGAAACATTTACAGCATATCACTTTCTTAAATTCATGAATATCAAACTTTTAAAACATATACTTTTGATTTTAAATAAAGTATGTGTTTGTATTTATTTGAATTTTCATTATAAGATTAATTTTAATTTAAGGTTAAAGAAGAAAAACTGAGCTACAGGGAAGCCTTTTCTAGTACTCCTGCCAAGCGTGGTCTTATTATTGGCCTTGGTGTTATGTTCTTTCAACAGTTGAGCGGAATAAATAGTGTAATTTTCTACAGTGCTGACATTTTTAAGGTAATTTAATCTTAAAGATAAAAATTTAATTATACTGTAATGAAAAATGAACTAAAATATTATAATAAACTTTCATTTTTCATTTCACTATTTTATGCTCTTCCAGATATGCAACTTTATAAGGTATTTTATTTTTGCAGTTGAATTTTACCTGTTAAAATTTAATTGTATTGTATTACTTTTTTTTTCTTATCCTACGTACAATTACTTCATTTATTCATGTATTTTTATTACATTGGGAAATTCCATCATCCTATCCTTGATTTCACTGTTATCTTTTTTATTACTTTTTTTTGTGTACTTGTTGCACTGTGTCCTTAAAGCCCTTTTTACACGGTCAATATTATTAAACATAATATACATATTGTAAGTGTCAATATTATTATTATTATTAGTTCCTAGAATCACTTAGCTGGGACATAGGGCCATTACAAAGTTCTGCTATGCATCTCGAACTTTAGCTAGTAGCTCCTTGCCTCCAGACCAGGTCTGCCTGGCACTGCTCATTTTCTTCTCTACAGTCCTCCTCCATGTTTCTCTAGGCTGTCTGTGTTTTCGCTGGCCTTGGGAGTCCCAATCTAGGCTCTGTCATGTTCCTTTCTAAGCGTATGCCCTAGTCATCTCCATTTCCAATGTTTAATGACCTGATTTATCAGGAAGCAGGGTGGCCAAGTAAGCTAACCCGTGTCACAGTTAGCTCTGGCATTAACCCTTGCCCTTATCCACTGGTCCACGAAAACCTCCATATAGCCTAAAAGAAGAAGAAGAAAAAAACTGATCTAAATGTCAATATAATTTTTTACAATATATTTCTCAGACAGTAAATATGCTCGAAAATGACTCAATGATATTTCACTGTGCAAGGGACCCTTAATAGGCCTATTATGCACCAAACTCCTTCCCATTTATATATTTTATAATATATATGACATTTATTTACATCTTCATTCTATAAATTTATTATTTGTGATACCTTCCTTAGAAATTCAATTTCCTTTTGTTTACAATATTTGAATAAACGATGATTTTTGTTCGTCTTATTTGTCATGTTTGGTACAAGAAAACTCTATTTTCCTTTTTTTGCTAGTAATATTTTGCCATATAGTTAACTAAATTGAATCATTTAAAGTATCAGTTTCGTATCAATTTTATCTTATTCAATATCATTATTGTTGTGTTATTGCAGGCTGCTGGCTCTACAATGGATGCTGCTACGTGTTCAATGATTGTGGGAGGAGTGCAGGTTGTTGCTACTTACATTTCTACTTTGATAGTAGACCGTCTAGGAAGGAAGCCGATGCTGTTCGGCTCTGCCGCCGTCATGGCCCTGTCTACTGGAGCACTTGGCATTTATTTCCACCTCAAGATAATTGAAAGTGATGTGTCAAACCTTTCCTGGTTGCCTGTGACTTCATTATCGGTTTTCCTGATTGTATTTTCACTTGGTTTTGGACCCATTCCCTGGATGTTTCTCTCTGAAATATTTCCTCCTTCCATCAAAGGACCAGCTACTTCCATTGCTTGCCTCTTCAATTGGCTCTGCTCTTTTGCTGTTACTTTCTCCTTTAAAAGTATCAATAATGCTATTGGCAGCGATTATACATTTTGGATTTTCACCGCCATCTCTGCGCTTGGTGCTGTATTTGTACTTTGCCTTATTCCAGAAACAAAAGGAAAGAGTCTCGAAGAGATTCAAAAGGCTCTTGGTGGTAATGAACCTACTGATAATAGAAGAAATGTTGAATCAAAAACATAATTTCAGTATGGAAGCTTTGAACATCTGTTACTGCATCTATGTGAGTTTAAATTATAAAGTATTTTAGGAAAATGTAACATTCCATTATATTTTGGATCATTTGTTATGATTCATTTCATTTTGTAAATAATTTCATCATTAAACGTTTAAATTTTATTATTATTGATAAAATTTTTTGTAATATTAAAACATTGTACTATTTTTATCTAATGAAATTATATTGGGACAAAGAAAATAGTTGAACAAATGTTATAAAGATTAATGTTGGCTGTTTTATTTTCTATCAGTAGAAATTAAATCTAGTCTTACTATTCATTTTTATATGAAAAAAAAATTCCTGTAAATTTATTTAATTATATATTTTAACTGGCGCAAAATAATTTTATAATGCACTTCTGCTGTTTGTGCCAAAAAATAATTTATTGTTATAATTTTTAAATTTTATTTATTTCCTATTATTAGGGAATATGTTTATAAATATATATTTAAAGCTTGTGTATTTTTTTGTATGATGCTATATAAAGATTTTGTAAAAAAATGTATGGCAAAGCTTTTTTTTTTTTATAGGAAAGCACTTTGTATAGTTTACCAAATTAGTTTTATTATGATTTACTTCATTAATAATTTTAAGGCTATTTACATGTAAAACATGTGCTGTGATATCAGGTATTTATTATGTATAGAATGTGTGTGTAACTAATTAATTGAGTGCATAATCTTCATTATTATACATTGTATTATATGTTCAAAACGATTTAGAAAAAGTTTTATATTATATGATTATTATACAAATATACTATATTGTATAATTGAGTTTTTTTTTCTGTTTCATTTACTACAATGCATTAATCTTAAAAAAATTAGTAAGTTGAACAGAATCACATTACTCCTAATGCTGCTACAGAAGTATTGTTTAATGATGCCGGTAGGTTAAAATGCTTTTTTTATTTTATAGCCCTTTTCATTGAAAAATTAAACAAAATAGAAATTATTATAATCTTTTTATTGTCAATTGTTACAAAATGCTGAATTAGTGGCTAATAGTAATAAGTGTTCCATCGTACTGTAGCACTACTTTTATAATTAATACGATTATATATAAACTAATACTGAAAATTCAGATTAGCGGAATTAAAAATTAGATACAAATACATATGTAAAACATTAATGTATGTAAAACTGCCTTCTTGAGCAATCTAATGATTTGGTTTAATCAAAAATGATTAGGAAAATATACACTTACATATTAATAATATGTTATGACATGCTTATTATTTGTTAACATTAAAAAAAAAAAGTTAATATAAACCGTAAAAGTTATAAATGTATGTATGAACTTAAAATTAATTTCTTGAAGGTATGATAATAATATTGTTATCAATGGGATAAACAGTAGTCTCATAAGTTGATTACAAAAGTGTTTTAAACTTTTGGCAGAGCCACGAAACGTTGAATATGTGACTGAAAAACATGAGTGATAAAAAATTTACCGCAGGAGAAAGATTTAATTTGTTCGCATACCTTCAAGAAGTTTCTCGTAGTAAAATGTGAAGATGTAAAACCACACTATTCAGAAAAGATTTTTTTATAGTTATAAAAAATCCTGTCTGAATAGTGTGATTTATCATTAAAAGTAATCATTTGTTATTGAAATCAACTAAATTTATTTTCGATTAAAAATTAATGATTAACGCTAATTTTTCATTATTTTATGGGTTGCAGTTAAAATATATTGACTTCTTTTATTTAATTCAGTAAAATTTTACTGTTACATATCATAGGCTATTTTTTATGCAAATTACAGAAATATATACTGGTTTTCTCCACAACTTGACACTAAATAAGGCAACATAGTATTGTTATCCAAGAGAAAAATAGGCATCTCATAAGTTTATTCCAATATTTTTAAATTTGTATTTAATTATTTTTGTTTCTCTCCCCAAATCTTAAAAAACAGTTGTCCCTGATAAGAAAGCAGAGTGAATTGGCTTTGATGTAAATGAAAATAAAACAAAATACTTACTTAAGCGAAAAATAGAGAGAAATACTTTATTGGAAATAGTGCTGCCCTACTTTATAGGTTTGCTTTATACACAGCATACTAATCAATCAATATAGACGTAACTATTACATTGCGAATATATACATATATATAATTTTGTTTTCTCCCTTATTATAACACTAGTCATTTAAAATACCACCAATATTCTACATTAGACTATTATTACAATATAACATGCATATTTTCCTCCCAAAACAATTTCTAAATGCTAGAAATACAAGAACAAATCGCACACATGTATCCCAGCATAATGCCATGAAAAGAAACAAAGAGATAGGACTGTACTACAATTAAAATTGAATAAATAAATGATAATGAACATCCTTAATTAACAGTTAATTACAATATAAGTGGTAATGGATGATCCCCATATAAAATTATGTTTAAAAAAAAAGACCATTACAGGTTCAATAATGCTTTAACTGTAAATAAATTTTAGTTTTAAAATAGTACACATCGTGATTGTTTAAGTGATTTAGCTCAGATCAAACACAGATCTCAATCATGGATCACTAAAAAACAAATTATTTATGTATAGTTTTTTGGTATAAAGATTATGTCTGAAAGCCAGTGATTCATATCAATAACTTTGAGATTATTTTTCTTTATAAGATGGAAATAAAGAAAAAAATCTCAAACATTTTTGTTGTATATCTTTGGTTATAATTTGTTTATGGAGGTCCTGTTTGTTTCATTTCATGCAATACTTGATAATTATTGGGTGGGTCTGTGAATTTTTCTTGAATTTATCACAATTTTTTTGATCTTTGTGAAGAATTCAAAGGTCTAATTGAGATAAAAAATATTAATTTTCCAATTATTTGTAAAGGCCTACTTTACTGGAAGTATCTTTTGATTTTTGGTATTTATGACACATTATAATTCATTTAATAAAATCAAAAATAATTTTTTTTCTGATTCTCCTCCTACCCCCCAAAATTAAATAAATTAAGTGATTGTATATGATTCTACGTCCATTTGGAAACAACGTTATGACAACAGTCGAATAGTTGTTGATGTAGATTCTCTAAAAAAAAAAATTAGTTGAAACCGATGGCCCATGGATTGTGAGCTCTCCTTAGAGCTACTAATAAATCACCAAGCTCATAGATTTATGCATAATCCTGAAATTCATTTCAGATTTATACTCTGATAAAGAGAAGTTTGTTTGTGCTTGTTACATTCTGGTCTATCACTGATGGTTAACTAATTATAGAGAATATCATGGAGCCGAGGTATATAAATCTGTATATTGTCGGGAACGATTTTACATTTAAGGAGATCTGCATGTATTTTTACAATACCTTCATTTACTTCCAGACCGATTTGCTCTGCTTCTCTTACCAGTCTAAACTACTTTTATGTATTTAGGGAGTGAGACAAAATACATAAATATAAATCTAAGCATATTGGAATTGACTATAGACAATTTTTCCCAGGTCTTGAAACAGAAAAAAATTTTACTCTCAAAAAGTTTTGGTATCACCAGCATTTTTTTTAGTCAACAGTTTTTCAGTTTTCTGTTTTGGACTAAATTTTTTTCCTTAGCAACTTTTAAAGTAGGTTTTACAGAACATTTAGTTAAAATAAAGATCTTTTACTTAAAAGTTCTGAAAAATTTGCTAAAAATTCAATCTAAAAAATTATTTGTATCCTTAGTTTCTCAAACGACAAGTTAAAATCATGTATAATTCATTTAAGACAGACTATAAATCTAATTAAAGCCCAAATGCTGTTTATTTTTCATTTAACTGAACTATTTTCAAGTAAAGACAAGTTAGGCTTTTACCATAAACCTGAAAGTTTATTACAAAAAAGTTCTATAGAACTTTTATTCTAAAAACTTTTTTTTGTAAAAATTTTCACAGAAACTCTTAAAATGGAACAACTTTTTTCCTATAAAGTTAAGCCATTATGGAAAATGAAATAAAAATTGATTGAACAATCACCCAGTAACTTCCTTTTCATGAAAAGGGGGATAAGTTGCATTGAATGGGTGTAGATGGTTTTTTTTTTCTTGTATGGGATGTGACTGATATGCAAACTTCTCCCCTTCTCCCTCTCCCCAGATCAATTTTGAAAATTTCCCCAAACTTATTTATAATTTCGCACTTTTTTAGTTTTTTCCCCATTTTGACCATGAAGGAGCACGTTTTTGACAAAAAAACATTATGTATCTTTTTAAACTAGATTAATTATGATACAATTTAAGATGAAAGCAGGTTTGTTAAGTTTAATATTTATTGAGATACAGGTTTCAAAATTTTGGAAATTTTTCAAACTTGAATGCTGTAAACTATTTTCCATGTTTGACCATATACAATTGTCTTTATATTTTCAATTGTCTTATATATGATTCAGTGAAATACATTTTTATTAATTTTAATTATTGGAGTTTTGGCAAAGGCCAGGTCCTCCACTCAAGCCAAGTATGTGTGATTATAGTGCCTCTACTGGTTATTAATACCACTAATGGGGATCAGTGCGAGGTGCTGGGATCACCTAGAGTCCTGCCTTCCCTTCCAGGAGTGGGAAGAAAGGCTTTGATCCGAGTTCTTCTGGGTGAATGGATTCTGTAAATATTGTACAGTATGCAGGTGTTTTAGCTGTTATTTTGATTAGTTTAGTTCTTTTGTTTATATACATTTACTATAATTTGTTCCTATTTTATTTATTGTAAATAGAGTGTGAATGTGCTCTTTGAACACTATTATAAATGTCCTTAATTGTGACAGATTGTAATATTTCTGAGTAAATAAATAAAATAAAAAAATTAATTTTAACATTTATATCAAGTGCATACAAAAATCGTAAATGAAGTTTATGAAATTTTTAGAATGTTAAGCTAATTTTCATCTTTACATCTTCAATAACCTGCCTCATAAGAGTTAGTGAAGTAAGCATTTCTTTAATTTATTATTTTGAAGCAGTAAATAAGGAAGATCCAAAATGTTTGAAAATGTAACAAGGAACTGATGGAAACATTATTTGGTGCTGTAAGGACTTATGCCAGTGCAGCTTTTCGCTGATTAAGTGCATTTTCTAAAGAGCCGTTTCAAATATATTAAAAATTATTCAGTGATTTCGGAAGATAAATGTATTCTCTAGATGTTTTACTCTAAGGCGTTTTACGTTATTGTTGACCGTTTAATTACAAATGACGCTTGATTTTCAAATTCAATTTGAACAAATTGAAGTTGATTTTCAACTTCAATTTGAACATATTGACATATACAAGTTGACTTTACTGTTATTTTTTATTGCCAAAGCAAATTATTTTGAAATATCTTTTATTATTCTCTGACTATGAAACTTTAATAAAAGACAAATTATGACGAAATTAGCTCAACTGCTGAATCTTAGTAACCGAAAAACTAACTTAAGTCTTAGTCGTCAAACCGCCATGTCTGGACGTCATTTTCGGACAGTGCGGCGATATATATATATATAATTACAAGGAATGGAAAGATATGAAATTTTTAGTGATGTGGGGGGAGAGTGCATGGGAAAGGAGTCTAACCCACGGACTACCCTTTCATACCAAACCTTCTTTAAATATTTACTTCACTGACTCATATCAGACAGGTATTTGAAAATAAAAGACAATTGCATATGATCAAACATGAAAAATAATTTAAACGGAAAATAAAATTTCCAAAATTTGAAAACCTGCATTTCGTTAACTATTTGATTTACCGAGCCTGTTCTGGTCTTAAAGTATAGCATATTTAATCTAGTTTGAAAATGTATAGTGTGGTTTTTGTCCAAAACGTGCTGCTTCATGGATAAAATGATGGAAAACCGAAAAAAGTGCGAAAATATAGCAGTTTTTGAGATATTCAAAAGTGATCCGGGGGAGGGGGCGCCGAGGTCGAAAAGTTAGATTTTACATCTCAGTCATATCCCATATAAGAAAATAGAAAGAATCATTCTGCCCTCATGCAATGCAACTTACGATGTACAGAGTTACTGGACTACAATATATAATTCGAGAACTGCATTTTATTCATGCTCTAGATATCACAAAAAGGCTAAGTTTTACAGCTATCTTGAGAACAAGTATATTGACCAAATATCATGTTTCAATAACGTCATTATTTACCGACCACATAACAAAAAGATAGTAAATCTAGCCACTGTTAGTTCACAGATAACGATGATATAATAAAATATAATATTAAATAAATAGTAGTAGTATCTAAACGCGATTTCAGATAGAATCGAGATCATTTCCAGGACACTCGAGTAAGTAGTTCTAATTTAGTATGGTTTAGTTTTAGATTTATTAAACAATTACTGCTTTTCCTAAACAACACGCTTTGATTGGAGGTGATCAGATGGGTAATTAAAATCAGGGGTGATGTTTTGAACTTAAATTATAAATACTTTAATCAAATGAATAATATTTGTAGCATGTGTAACATAAATGAAGTAGAAGACCTCTATCACTTTCAGGCGCCTGTCCAATGCTGTGAATTTAGAATTAAACTGTTGAAATCTAGATATTTATCTCGGGATCAAGTATTAGGTTGGCAAATAAGTCCTTTCGGTTTTTCAGAGGAAAATAAAACTCAATGTATTATGGTCATAAAATTTATTTTAATCTACAATATATTGACTATTGTTTAATATGACTTTTTCACATCTTTCCACTAACTGCATAATGCCATGTTCATAGAATGTCTGGAGTTTATTGTTAAAAAACTGATCCAAGTGGTTTTTGATGTCCTCTTCCTTTTGGAATTTCTTTTCATTCATGGAGTTCTGCAGAGATCGGAATAAGTGGTAGCCAGCTAGGTCGGGTGAATATGGAGAGTGGGATAAAAGGTCCCATCCGATGCTCAAATATTTGTTGTGAGTGACCAATGAAGTGTGGGGCATGGCATTGTCTTGATGGGAAATGGGATTGATCCAATTTCGTTAATTGTAAGCAGTATAGAGTTGAACCAATTTTTTGTCCTGATGACAATAGCTCATATCTCACCATATGGTCCCATCATTATCTTATTTGGATGCAATCTGAGTTTTGACATTCTTCTTGGAGCCTCACTACTAGGCCCCCAAGATTTTCTACGGACTATATAATCGTAAAATATCCATTTTTCATCTCGTGTTACCAACCTTTTCAATATTGGGTCGTTTTGTTGCCGTTTCCGTAGTGAATCGCAAACAGGCGTGTTGCCAAGTTGACTTCGGTTAGAGAGTGAGGGACCCAAACATTAAGTCTGGAAACATAGCGAAACTTGTGCAAATGGTTTTCTACGTTTGTTTGCTACACATTTAGGTCCTTAGCAATCTCTCGCACTGATTGGGTGGGATTTTGATCAACAATGGCCTTAACATTGATCGTTTCAATTTCATATGGGCGACCAGAACGTTGAGCTTCATTGATCTCAAAATTTCCTGAATGAAATTTGGCAAACCAATTTTGACAGTTGCATTCGGTTAAGGCAGCATCCCCATTAACACTGCAAATTTTTCTATGAGCTTCTGCAGCACGCTTACCTTTTTTAAAATAATACAACAAAATATGCCGATATTTTCTTCCATATTCACAGTGCAATAGGAAACACTATACTAAGCTAGTTAACAGCTACAAGAGTTAACAGATATAGTAGTTGACATATTACAAACAGGATAAACAATCCACCAAGGGATTCATTCATCAGATAAGAAATGTATTATAGTAAAATAAAAATAAACTGAAAACTGAAAGGACTTATTCATCAACTCAATAATACAATTAATAAATGGAAAATATTGGATAGCATTGGTAAATCACTGCAGATCTGCTTTCTCCTATAGAATAATGCTCACCAGAGAATTTAACTATTAATAAATTAGAGAATGTTGGTACTGAATTGTAAATAAAATATTCATATAACTTTTACATTGTAAATATAATTGTTCTTATTTTTTTTATGTATTAGTTATGCTTATAGATACATGTTAATAAAATATATTTTTGTTTTGTAACACAGATTTATCAGACGATCAATGCTGTGCTATGCGTCTGATTTTAGGTTTAAATCCAAAGCATATTATATTTGTTTTGATTTTGTAATTAATATTTTTTAATTTTGATACATTATTAAATGAGACTTTTCTCCTCCCTTTCTTAAACAAGATCTAGCATGTAACTGTCAAGAGACATACATACATAAATAGACTTTTTGTCTATTGGCTTTACAGACTTTGTTGGTGTTTGATCGCCTTAACCAACTCCAATTCTGCCTATGGGGCTATTGCTTTTCATTTTTCTTCGTGTAGTTTTGCAGCATTTTGTTGATTCGATCTATCAATTTGGTTTTCGGCCTCCTACGGGGTCCCTTGCCTATTATTGAGGTATCCATTATTGTGTAGAGGCTTCCTGATAGCTTACTCTGAGCTAGATGTCTACATCTTAATCCCGTTTCCTTAATATCATGAAATATTTTCAGTAAGCAGTGCTCGGATGATTTTTCTCCTTCATGCTTTAGTACTCTCACTCCAGATTCCCGAGGACATTAGATGGAATAATGTCTTTCCAACTCCAAATATTTCAAAAGTTTAAATGCACACAATTCTTAAACCAATCGTTAGAATTGGATAAAATTTGGTATTTTTCCTTACTTGTATATTTAAAAATTTTCATTAATATCTGAGAGGGCTGGGTGTCAAGTTGAACTTTTTTTGGATGATTTGGCATGTAATGACCCTTGTATATTTCTCCGGTACCAATTAGTGTACCTAGCCTAAAACAGTAAAGTGTTTTTTTTAAAGAATAAAACATAAACAGACATATGTTTATGTATAACATATACAAAACAGTTTATATTATAAAATAAGGGCCGAATAATATACAATAATACAGGAGCTTTGTCGAAAATTGGAGAAAATGAATTTTAAAAAATTGTTGTTCTATGTATGTATTGTATTTCATATTAAAATATTCATAAGTTTTAATAATAATAAACTTTTCCGAAAAAAAGTTTCCATCTTGCCCCTGCCCCCAAATTTAAAGCTGCGTACGTCCTTGACTTTTCATATAAACATCGGTAGCCTTGGTTGACGAGACTTTAACTGTTGGATGATGTTCTAATGAAAAAACAATTTATCTTCCATTTTATATAAATTATATCAAAATGTAGTCAGTCACAGACAAAACGAGAAAAAATGAAATTGAAAAAGGCGTAAGTGAAGTTATAAATTTTTAAATAAAAATTACATTTAAAGTTAAAAGAAAGTAAGAAGCACCAATATTCCGATTTCAGCAAAAAATGCTAAAATTATAGTTACAATCTTATAAAACCAAATCAGTGATAGATATGCACATGCATTTAATTTTTAACTTGATACTAAAAGTGTTTTTTTAGCACCAACGCCTGATTTTTTTATGTTCACTATTGTGATTTTAATAAAAAAAAAGGCTAGATTTAAAATAGGTAAAGACAAATAATTTCGGTTGTAAGTACACAACGAAGGTACGTAATGTAGGTATATAATGCCTACATCTTTATTTAGTAAATAAATACAGAGGTTTATCAGTAGACCAATGTATATTTTTAACATCACACCTTCACAGAGTCCATTACATAATCGCAAATATACGAAATAACACAACTTATAAATAATTTTAAATTTTAATTTGACGGCCAATTATTAGATAGCTTTGAGATCACAATTCAGTGTCTAATCGGATCATAATCACAACCGTAAATTATTATTTATTTTGCTTCTGAAGTTAGGGCAGCTTTGTATTTGTGCAAGAGGTTAACAAAACGAAAAACAGATCAAACAGCAACTCGACTAGTGGCAAACGAATGAACTAAAGAAAAACAACTGTTGTTATCCGTTTGGAAGAGCAGTTCATTCGTTTGAGATCAAAACCTGTTCTTTTCAAACATTTGGCGTTTTCTCTCCAATCCTTACAAACGTTTATCCGATCTTCATGAAATAATCAAGAATTGTGCGGATTGGTGCCTAGATTGTTCAATATCAATTTCATTAAATTCCACCGGCTACTTGCAGCTACGCACGCGCAAATGTATTTTCTTATAAATGCAAATATTTCAGAAACGGCTCAATTGATGTGGCTCAAAATTGAAAGAAAGGTGGGAATTGGTAAAATGATGACGTGTCCATTTTATTGAATTCCGTAGAGTACTTCTGGTTGCGCAAGCGTCCACGGGCGGATCTACGGGGGGGAGGGGGCTTTCGGGCTGAAGCCCCCCAAAATGGTAACCATGTTTTATCGAAAAAAATATTTAAAAAGTATCTCTTAAAGTATTATTGTTCTTGTAATTACATTTGAAAGGGCTTTAGGAATCACTTAAACACCATTTCATACAGGTAGTTAGTTTCTTTCTTTTTTTCCAAAATAATTATCGTTATTTTTATGAAAAAAAAACTTTCGGGCTGAAGCCCCCCCCACAATCAAATCCTGGATCCGCTAGTGCAAGCGTCACTAGCGGATCCAGGATTTAATTTTGGGGGGGCTTCAGCCCGGAAGCTTTTTTTTTTTCATAAAAATAACGATATTTACTTTGGAAAAACAGAAAGAAACTAACTACCTATATGAAATGGTGTTTAAGTGATTCCTTAAGTCCTTTTAAATGTAATTAAACCAACAATAATACTTTAAGAGGTATTTTTTAATTTTTTTTCCCCATAAAACGTGGTTATGTTTTACCATTTTGGGGGGGGGCTTCAGCCCGAAAGCCCCCCCGTAGATCCGCCCGTGGCAAGCGTGTATGTATTTTCTTAGATATGTCCATATTTCGGAAACAGCTCGTTTAATTTGGTTCAACGTTGAAAGAAAGGTTGGTAAAATAATGAAGCAGTATCGACTTTATTAAATTCTGTTCAGTATTTCCGGTTTCGCAGGTGCGATTTATTTTTTAAAAAATTATTTATTCAGAAGTATTAAAATCTGTCACAATTAAGGACATTTATAATAGTGTTCAGAGAGAACATTCACACTCTATTTACAATAAATAATTCAGAAACTAATAATAATAAAAGTAATTGTATATAAACAAAAGAACTAAACTAATCAAAAGAACAACTAAAACATACTATACAATATTTACAGAATCCATTCACTCAGAAAAACTTCGAGCCAAGCCTTTCTCCCCACTCGTGGAAGGAGAGGTAGGACTCTAGGAGATCCCAGAGACTCGCACTCAGCCGCATTACTGCTATTAATAACCACTAGAGGCGCTGCGAATTATTAGAAATTAGAAATAATTATAAGAAATGTATTTTCTAAGATTTGCGGTTGATTCAGAAACGGCTCGTTCGATTTGGCACAAAGCTAGAAGTAAGGTGAGAATTAATAAAAGTTGTAGACTTTGAGATATAGATAAGTGTGGAACCAATGAAAATGGTGAGAAAGCTATACTAGCCTCCCTTGGCAGACATTTTTTTACAATATTTTTGTATGAACATCTTACATTTGAATCAAAATTACCTTCATTACTTAGAGGGAGAAAACGTCAATATTTCTGAGGATGAAACCCAATTATATCGGCATAGTCGAATAATTATGAGAAATATTACATTTTTGAAGGAGGCATATTTTGACGGGGTTTTCAGTTTTTGAGAGAGTGGGACACATTTCAATGTGGTTATGAGCTTTTGGAACGAAAAGTTTTAAAAGAGGGGACAAGGGTAAAACATGGAACAGCAATTGTAATTGTGTATGGAAAAAACGATTACCTATATAAACCTAGTCCGGGGGAAAAAACGTATAACCTAAAAGGCGGGGAAGGGGAGGGTAAAAAAAATATATAATAAAAATTTGTTTTAAAAAAAATGTGAAATTGTATATGATCTACGATTTTTCAATTTTATTTTGGTTTTTAAGAAGAGGTGAACAATAAAATATCTTGGGGAATGGATGGGTAAGTTCACACGCCATCGACCTTGAGGCGGGTGAGAATCCCTGTTAAATCCCAACATTGTATTTTTACATGAAAGTATAAAATCATACAATCACAAAGCATTTAATTAGTTTGTGCATTATCTTACTACATCTACACCTCTATAGTCCAATATGGCATATTCGTTACCCAGTACTTATGAGACATAATATTGATACACATAATAGGTCTGTTCTAACTAAATAACGACTTTCAACTATAAGCACTACTCCTCGACGCTGCAGGCCAGTATGACCCTTGGCCTCCTGAGTTATTTTTCCTCTCTGTCTTGTGCTAGTCTCTTCCAATTGCGTACTCCCAACTTCCTCACATCTCTCTCCACTTCATCCTTCCATCTGCTTCTCGGTCTTCCTCTTTTCCATTCCTCTTCTCCATTCTGACCAGATGTCGTGTCCATCTCAGCCTACTTGCCTTGATATAGTTAGTAATGTTTTGATTCTTTAATGTAGCCTCGATTTCAAGGGTACTTTTGATTTTCCACTCACCATTAACACTTGTAGCACCGTAAATCCTTCTTATTATTTGCCTTTCGAATACTTTTAGTTTACGGCAATCCGATTGCGATAGACACCAGGTTTCCGCTCCATAGGTTACAACTGGTCTAATAAGCGTTTTATACAGCTTTATTTTTGTGGTTTTTGACAACAACAGAGACTTGAGAAGTTTTATGTTTGCACAGTAAACTCTATTACCAGCCATTATTCTGTTGTTTATTTCTCTGCTGATTACATTTTCATTATTTAGGGCAGAACCGAGGTACACGAATGTGGGCACATTTTCGAGCTTAAAATTCTTTATTCTGGTTTCACTGCAGGATCTTTCTTCCACTTGCTGCCGAGGACAGTTTCAAGCATTTATTTGCTATAAGCAAACTATCATGTGGAATTCGGTTTCGCAACTAACTGATGATAGTAAAAATTCATGCTGGGACAGACCTAATATTATTTGTTATACTTTGACACATAATAATTGATTTATACAGACCGACATTTTTTCAGTTTTCAATAACTATTTTATGAAGAAATCAACATTTTACGGTGATGTTTTCATAACTATAAATTGCTATTTAATGCTTGCTTCATTAAAACATTTATTTCTATGAAATAGGCGATGGATCCTGCAATACTAGAAATAGTCTTAAAGAACAAGTACCGGAACGAACGGATCCTCAAAATTTTGAGCGTCGAGGATGAGATAGCAGTTCCAACGGGTCAAAACTTCTTGTCCGCTATCAAGAGGTTGAGGATTAAAGTGGTCCTCGGGAACGGAAGGGTTGTCAATCGCAGCGCTATTATGAAGAGTTCTGACGTACCATCTGAGGCACACAACTCATTCATAAAGGACACCGGTGTTTTCAAGACGGAAACTACAGTTAGTAAACTTTTTATTTATTCTATTTTAATTATTATTTTCAGGTTAATAATCTTATTTTTCTTTTAAAATTAATTTCTGAATATGAAAAAAGGAAGAAGAAATTAATAAAATAAAATAAAGAACACACAAAAAGCATCGCTGTTTTTGACTAAAATAAATTAAATTTAGCAGAATCGATTAGTATCACGCTACTTCTGTAGTAATATTTATTTTCGAAGAAAATTTGATAGCTACAAGAATTAACTGTAATAGTTTCAACGTGACGAATAGTGATTTTTATGAACTATTTTATTTCTATTACTGTTAAAGAAATCACTGCTTAATGGTAACCAATTTTATGCCATATAGATGTACGTCACAGTTCTTAATGAAATGGAGTATCTTTTGCAAGAATTTGATAATGCTGAAGACATCCCTTGGAGCAGACTTCTGTATTATGAACCTTACTCAACCATGGTCTTTGAAGATTTAAAGGTGAGAACGTAAACTATAGATATATTAAGATTCGTATAGGAATCTGTAGCAATATTTTTCTATCGAGTTCTCGCTTTAATCATAAGGGCAGACCCAATGAACCGTTTTCGATGCAACTTTAGGAGAATGTAGCAGCAGAGATGGGAAAACGGTACTTTGAGTACCGAGTACAAAGTATTTTACTCAAATTGAATGACTAGTGGGAATTAAATCACTACTTCAGTTAATCGTTTGACATCAACTTAAGTAGTAATTAAATTTATGTTATTCAAAAAAGATCAGTGTTTGAGTAAAATACTTGGTACTCAGTACTCAAAGTTGCATTTGCCCATCTCTGTGTAGCAGTAATAGTCCGTGGTACAGACCCTTTTTATCGAATTATTAACATCCGCCTGAAACTTCGTAAATAGTTTCATCTCATCGTAACCTAAGACTATTTTATTTACAAAAACTCCTCGAATTGGGGCGTTTTCAATCTGGAAGGGGGCAAACTTTGTCTATTTAATTAGGTACTTTTGTTTTTTTCTCTCTTATGCCAGTCGTTGGTCATTAGGTACTAAAAACTCGTTAATACCCTTAATTTGCTTACTGCTTTGATCGTAAGATAATTTGATCATCAAATCAATAAAAAAAAATGGCCTACAAAAATATTGGGCCGTTTGTCCTATGTAACCTAGTTATTTTGAAAATTTTGGGGTATAGGTCACGCCAAACAGCTCAATGTTTTTGAAGGCCACATTTTTTCTCGATTTTGTGATCAAATTATCTTACGATCCAAGTAGAAAGCAAATGAACATTTGCGAGTTTTTAGTTTTATCGTAAATAAAATAGTTGTAGGTTACGATGAGAAGAAACTATTTACGAAGTTTCAGGTGGATGTTAATAATTCGATAAAAAGGTGTCTGTACCACGGACTATAATTTCACTAGTGTGAATGACGTAAGAAAGCAATTAATTGTGTTCTGATATCTTGAACATATCTAAACCAATGTTGACTGAAATAGGTGTATTGAAATACGATAATTATTGCTTGCCATTTTGCTGAAATAAAATTAATATATATTTAAATCTCTACTTATGTAATTAATGTCTCTGATATTACAATATTTAAAACCATTGTTTAGAATTATATCGACAGCCATGTTGCAAAAATCCGTTTTACAAAAACTTAAAATAATGAGAAGATTCGTAGAAATTCGTATTTTTATTTTATAACCTAAAAATAACAAGAGTTGCAAAATTTAGAGGAAATATCCCTTCTGACAACCATGGGTCAGAGTAGCTAGTCGAAGAAACATTTATAATAAAAGAATATGAAAAAAGTGCTACTCTAGAGATGAGCATTCCAACATGTCCTGAAATAATCTTTCTAAAAGTTAATTTTATAAATCTGTATCGTATTTGGATTAATATTAATTCTTTTTAAACATAATTGAATATTTCTAGATTTATTATCTCATGAATATATAAAATATACTTACGTGTCTGAAACATTCCTTATATTTCTTTTTATATTATTTTATAAAGGCGATACGTTATTTTATCTAGATTACTTGACAGATGTTCAAAATTATCTTTAACTAACAAACTAATCCTTTATAAAGTTTTATTTAAACCTATTTGGACTTACGGCATAGAGCTGTGGTGTTCTACTAAAACTTCCAACATTAAAAAAATTCAGTCCTTTCAGTCAAAAGTGTTGCGAAGGATAGTGGATGCACCGTTTTATGTCGCAAATAATTCACTACATAAAGACTTAAACGTACCTACAATTTCAGACAGTGCGAAAGAAAACTACAATAACTTTCACCAAAGACTGACGTACAACATGAATAATCTGACAGAAATCCTCCAACGTACAAGAAACCCCTAGAGACCACTACGACGATTGTGTAGGCGTTGGCCAAGAGACCTGCTGGTCTGATTTATATCCCGGACGTGATGGGAACCTGTGAAGCTGCCAAAAAAAAATTACTCATTGCAAAGAAATTTGCAGATTACAAATTTAATCTAATGCCCTACATCATTGTTTGTTTGATAAAATAATAATATTTCTTTTTGAACACATCGACTTTGAAATTGTAGCATAAAATTTATGTGCCTTTTTTTCGTGCGGAAAACGTTTCGGTATTAAAAATGATTTGAAAATTCTTTTATTTTTAATATAATTCGAACAATTCATTTGTTTTTAACTTTGGTTATATTTATATAACCAAAGTGATCACTGAATCTCTTAATAATTGATAAGGATCACTGTGCTAAGCACTAGCGGATCCAGGATTTAATTTTGGGGGAGGCTTCAGCCCGGAAGCTTTTTTTTTTTAATATATATAACGATAATTACTTTAGGAAAACAGAAAGATACTAACTACCTATATGAAATGGTGTTTAAAGGATTCTTGAAGTCCTATTAAATGTAATTAAACGAGCAATAATACTTTAAGACATAATTTTTAAATATTTTTTACCATAAAACATGGTAACATTTTACCATTTTGGTGGGGGGGGCTTCAGCCCGAAAGCCCCCCCCCCGTAAATCCGCCTGTGGTGCTAAGTGAAAAGTAAGTGGTATGCATATTCTATAAATGACCTGTTGTCGTGTCTTCACAAACAAATCTGCTATTTTTAAAAATATTTTCTAACTTCGAGCTGCATGTTTTTAAAATTAGACTAATGCCTAGTTGGGTATATTCCTCTAGCCACTAGGATTCAAGTCTCTCCTCATCCCATGCTACTTGGACATGGAGCACGCCCTCCTGGTTATCAGAGGCTTGGGGTTGTTCCACGGCCTCGGCAAGATCTTGGATGAGCGAGGTATCATCAAAATGGACAGCTTTCCCAGTTGGTACGTCTTCAACAAGACACCCTACAGGATATGGCACTCTTATCTCATGGAGTTTGCCAGTGTTATGGATAAAAATTGGAATCCAAGTTGGTAAGTTAATCTTTTTTATTTGTACAAAATATTTTTGAGATAATGATAATGATAGTGGTGCTCTCTTTATTTTGAGAATTGGATGCTTTGTAAATGCTGTTAAATGATATAACAATACGCATTAGACATTTTTAAATTTTTGTTATGTATACTTTGTTCATGCTCAAGAGTATATGACGAAGTACAACTGATTAAATAAACATAAAAAAAAAAAAAATCTTTGACATAATGCTTTTTCAGGACTCATGAACGTTACCATCTTTTCGCGGAATAAGTACATACATACTTTTTTTTTCTCTGAAACCTGACCTAGATAAGGCTGCAGATAGGTGTTCTTGGGAGTAATAGTCTTTTTCTAAGTCGATTCCAAAATACTTAAGAATTTTTTGTCCCTATAATTTATTTTTAGTGCAAACGACATTTTCTGCGAGATGTGCTAGCGTGAGCCCTGTACATTCTACTATTATCTATACAATTAAATATTAAATAATACCAACAATAGCATTTATGAAAACCACATATGTATATTTATATAATATTGCCGCAGTCCGTACTATATTAATCTCATGATACGTATGTGGAACCGTGTTCTAATCTTTGTGCGCTCGTATTCCATTGGTTCCTCAATTACAACTATCTCTTATTTCTCCTTTAGTTATTTATCAAATTCCTTCATATTTTACATTTTTAATACTATAAGTGAATGTGATATGGTCAATTGTTTTAAATAAAAAAAACAAAGGTACTTTAGAGGAAGCTAATATTGAAAATTAGCAATTAATGCCCAGTTAGAGAACATCAATCAGAAAAATGACCACGTTTTATTTAAAACTGCTTAATTTTACCGTGGTATGATGAATTTAATCAAAATCGTTAGAGCGGTTTTCGAGTCCGCTATATAAAGTGTCGATGACTCTATATAAAGTGTCACTTCCGGTTAGCCGATTTTGACGAAAAAGTTGCTGTAACATTCCTAGCATATAAAAACCTTAAATTTGCAATTTCACTTCCGTACGACTTTTCGTTTTTGAGCTGGACTGTTAACAGACACACACAATCCTTTTTACGGGACTTAGTTATTTAGGCTCAAAGAACCTCAAAACGTGTAGTTAAGTTGAAAACTTAGATTCAAAATTTTCACGAACGCAATACTTACCCTTACTATATATTACATATATAGGTAAGTGAAAGTAAAAAAGTGCATTAATAAAATTTCCCGAAAACAAATAAACATACAGAAAATCATTTTGTATTTAAATTTATAAGTTATCTCTTTTCTAAGTAGTTTTTTCATAGTTTACTACCATCTAGAATAAAATTGCTCTTTTTACTTTCACTTACGTATATATGTAATATATAGGAAGGGTAAGTATTGCGATCATGAAAATTTTCGAATCTCAGTTTTCAACGGAAATACGTTTTGAGGTACCCTGTGTTCAAATAAAAAAGTGTCGCAAAATGGTCTGTGTGTGTGTGTGTGTGTGTGTGCTTGCGTGCGTGCGTGCGTGCGTGCGTGCGTGTGTGTGTGTGTATGGGCCGGATGTGACAGCAACTTTTTCGTTCAAATCGGCTAACCGGAAGTGCCACTTTATATGAACGCTGAAACACATTTTTACAATTTTCTCAAAAACGACTCTAACGATTTAATCTAATAAAGTATAAAAAAATAAAAATGCAGAAAAACCTGCGTTCCTACAGACTAGCGCCTAAACGAATGTATCGATTTCAATGAAACTTCGCTAAAGTCATTTTCCCGATACCCTTTAAATTTATCTATATAACATACTTAAACGAAAAGAATCTGGAAAAAAAATTACGAGGGGTGTTAAAATTAAATTCCGAATAACTCAAAAAGTATACGTTTTTTTGTGGATGTTGTTTTTTAAAAGTTTATGGAATTTCCTAAAAAAACAAAAAAAAAAAATCGTTAAAATCGGACAATTAGGAGGAAAGATGTGGTCTCTAGTTTTTTTCCCTGAAGAGGTGAAAATTTGGATAAATTTAAAATATATTTTTTTAATTGTTGAGACTAAAAAAACCTTTTTTCTACAGATATTTAATAAAGTGTCTTTCCGAAGAACATCTTTCATAAGAAAGTAGTACCTAAATTCATACTTTTATTCTTAGTTCTATATTTCAAAACTGCAATCACCTCTGCAATCATACCTCTGGAATCAACTTACTCATTGTCTGCATAGATAACTTTTTCAACTAAAAATATCACTCAAAAATGTTGAAATTGGAGTTAGTCATTCTGTGGTTTATAAAAGCAGACAGATTAAATAGATTTTTATTGCCTGTTGTCGATATAATAAACAGACATTTTGTAATTATAATGGTCTTAATGACTTGTTATCTGTAAGCTTTAAGCTTTAGCTCCGTTTAAACTGCACTTCAAAAAAATTTATAATAGCCCAGCATTGCCAGAAAATAATTTCCATTCAAAGTAGATCGGTAAGTGAAAGTTGTGTGTTGCGCGCACCAGATTTTTTTATTATAAGCCACTTACAAACTTTATGTTAAAACATAAATGTATGTAATTTAGTGATAAATAAATAACTAATATAAAAAAAAACAATTGCATTCAACGTTATTTTACATAGACCATGGTTGAATATAATTCTAAAATCAGATATGTCACCAATGATCCATTCCTTGATCCCATCTTATACCAAACAAATACATCTTTTTTCTCATCGTTAGAATAAATAAATAAATAAATCTGATAAATATGTACAGACAAATGATTCATCAATGTTTTAAAGATATATCTATCTAGTAAATATATTTTTCAGGAAGCCCATTGTCAGTAAACTGAAAAATCTCACTGTTAAAGATATTGAAGATAAATTAGAGGAAATTTCCAAATACAGCGATCAATGCAATTTTAAAGTAATTAATCATGGTGACTGCATGGTGCCGAACCTGATGTTTAAATATGATTGGAAAAATCATCCATTCTCCATGAGGTGAGTTCAGGTTAACTAATTCGTATATTATATAGGCCTAATAGTGAAATTAAATGAATTTTTTTGACCGCACCCTCGACTAATCCCTTCTCATATCATATCAACGGTCAACCATCTCTACATCATTATAAATGAATTTTTATTTGATATCACACAAATATATTTCTAAAACAACATAGAATAATCATACTTCTAACACTACACTAGTACTCCATAGGGAACACAATTTAACCGTTTTACCTGATGTTATCCGATTATTTCCGACTGCGAAAATTATCCAAGAAGAAACAAATACCCAAAGTCGAGTAGTAACCCCCACAAATACAGCACTGCTGACAATACTAGTTATTTATGTTAGATGCAATTTATTTATTTATGAGTGTAACACACAGGCGGATCTACAGGGAAGACTTTCGGGCTGAAGCCCCCTTCCTCACATAATGGTAAAAATAACCATCTTTTATAGAAAAAAAATATTAAAAACCATCTCTTAGAGTATTATTGTTCGTATAATTACATTAATTAAAACTCCAAGAATCACTTAAAAACTATTTCATATAGGTAGTTAATTTCTTTCCTCTTTAAATAAAAATTAACTATCGTTATATATATATAAAAAAAATCATTTTTAGGAGATGCTGAAGCTCCCCTCCTCCCCCAATATTTAATCCTGAATCCACTAGTGGTGTAACATACAGAAACCAGAATTCGTGCATTTATGTTTAGCTCTAATATTGCATAATAGAATGATTACCATATATTTTTATGGAACAATGCTAATATGTAACAAAATAAAAAGTGAAATTTTATATAAACCTACTACAAACTCTACTATTTTTTTTTCAGATTCTTGGACTTCCAGCTGTCTGCGTTCGGTACACCCTGCTTTGATTTGTCATACTTCATTTATAGATCTATGAAAGGAACAACTATCAAAGAAAATTTCCAAGAAATAATGGAGTGCTACCATAGTTCATTGACAAGAACACTAGATAAGTTCAACTTCATGGGGGTGAGGCCAACTTTAGAAGAGCTAATTGAAGGAATGGATCGAGTATCATTCCTAGCCAACATTCTCTTCATTGTAAATTATACACCGATGACAACGAGTCAGGGCGATTTCGGAGACGACATACACAAAGAAAGAATTTTCTCTATTTTCAACAGGCAAGAATCAGAAGAAGACTTTGGTCCAGGGATGAGAGATTTCGCCAATAAACACTTGTCTTAACTTATAAAGCTAATATATATATATATAAAGTGGGCTCCTCGAATCCCTTAGAAAACCCAACACGAACTGCGAGAGGATTAAGACTTGCCATTATGATACTGTAAATGGACGAAATATTTCTGTTTTATTTTATAAATTAAGTTAACTGCGATCTAGAAACATATATGCTAGACTCCAATTCATAACTCATTTAAATTCTCATGAACTTCTATTAATTATTAAAATAATTACCACAACAATGAAGTTCGCAATCCTTTGGTTTGATTCTGTTCGCTCAGAAAAACAATGAAATTATAGTCACAGCATAATTGTAATGTAAATAACTATGTATTGTAATCAGCCAACACAATCACATTGCTCAGTACTTTCACCAATGTATTAGATTTTATGAGACTACTTTACCTTGTGTATTAACATATTGGTTTGTCCAATTCAATCTATTGATGTGTAATGGTTTTGAATAAATTATGATTTTTTATTTTATTTTATTTATTATTCTCCCTTCCTTGCCTTTCGACAATGGGCGGTGCCAGCAACATAACGGGGCATGTATATGTTGCTATTAAAACCTTTAAGTTCTATCTGCCTTCTTCTGCCTATCTAAATCATGGTCTCGTATCCTGGCAGCCTCCTTATTCTTCTTCGCTTTCTAGTTGAGTTCTAAGTGAAACTCCTAGCTGAACACGCCTCCCTGAAGAAGACCTGCAAAGTCAGGTCGAAACGTCGGCTTTCAATAAAATAGTTTTACCAACATTTAGCCTACTTATGACCGGCACCCCGGACCATCTTCCTTTTTTTTATTACTCTCTACCTCGCAATTTATTACTTTATACCTGACATGCGGGGAGAGGAGGTTGTTCTGCGGACACGGCCAATCCTATCCTAACCAGATTGGTAATGTCGAAGTTCATTCCGTGTCTCCGCCATGAATTAAATCATAATTTGACCGGGCCAGATTGAAACCGGCGTTGCTAAGTTCGAAAATGCTAAAGTTTACAGCTTCAATTCGCTAGGCCATCACAACTTCCTTATACATTAAGTATCTATCTAAACCATCTAGTTACTATATATAAGCTATCTAGTATCTAGCTGAAACATAGAAGGTAAAACATAAAACCTAATCGGCAGTCCCGCCTGATCCCCCCACTTTCGTCAAGCCTATAAGACTAGGAGCTACCGATTATTTCATTTAACGGAAGGGCTTAAAGTTAGTAACCACTTTAAATTCTAGATAAAACTCATCTGAAAACACAACTTCGGTCAGTCTGTTGAAAGCCGTTGCTTTCTACGCGAAAATTTAAATTAAAGAGGCAAAATTTGATGGTTCATTTAACGGAAGAACATACGGCTGAAATTTCGATATAATGTCAAGAATATATTCCTAAAAGAGAATTCACCTTGACTGACGATGTACTCGGTTGCATTTTGAAAACTGGCGCGCCAAAGTCGTCAAATTAGGCCAGTAGGATGATAGTTGTTTGAGGAAAAAATTGAAATAGTCGGTTTCTCTTCGGTTTTTTATGTTTTTTGGAATACTGAATTTGAATTTGATGTTCGTTCCGGAAGAAATTTTCCATTGCGTTCCGAGACATACGCCAGAAACAGCGAAGTTTCCGAATTTTTTTGTTTTCAGACATGACTCCGAAACTATGCATTCTATCGAAATCATTATCATATACAAGGTCAAAGAAGATAAAATTTACTATCAATTTAATGCTTTCCTTTTTGACGTAGGCCCAACGAATGAGGAGCTACAGAATGTTGAGAATGTTTGCTAATTTCCCAAGAAATATCTGTATTCGTCGGTTTTTCTCCTTCTATTTCTCTTCCTTTCTCCTTGATACCTTTCAGCGTACACGTCTCTATCCAACGCTGCCAGTGCTCCTCATCCTGCGTCTTCATTTCATCGAAAGTTTTCCCTTTTTCAGAGCCCAGCCTGCTCATATATTCATTGTACTGTATCCTTGGCTGCCTTTTTTTGCACTTTCATTTATTTGTCCGCACCTGTCAATTACAACTATCAAAAATCAGCAGATGTGCTGGCATAGTCATGAGAAAAAAATAAATAAAAATACTTGATAGGCTTGAGGAGAAGCAATACCCAGTGGTATCCCATCCATGAATTTTATTTACTACAGCATTATTTAAGTAGATCCCTCATCCAGACCCTTTTCAGTCGTCTTCTGGAGTAGCATACTAGTTGTGGCCATTTCTTTTACCAGCTGGTTGGAGTGTCCATTTAATATATTATGAAATCGTTTGTAGTAAGTTCGTATGTGTTCATTGACTGTCGGAACGTGTAAGTTGGTGTGTGAAGTGTGATTGTTCACGTACCATGGTGCTTGAGTGATTAGTTGTAGTACTTAGACTGAAAAGTTTGCCTTTTTTTATGTGTGTTGATTTTGCAATTCCGTATATTTGTTAAGTCCAAAGAGGCTTTAATAGATATGTGTAAATATTTAGTTTCTGTCTTGCATTAAATTTGGAATGTCGTCTTAGCAGTGAATGAAACAATTTTAGTCTTAGATTTAATGTGATTCGTTTTTTCTTTACATGTGGACCCCATGTCATTCTCCTAAGGCCTAGGTATTGTACTCTGTCTGTTTGTGGAACCGGTATGTTGCCTAATTATACAGGAGAACATGTTTCTGGTCTTAAAGTGAATGTGATATGTTGTGACTTTTAATAATTTATTTGAGTTTTCCAAAGTTTTCACCAATCGAGTATTATTTGTAAGTGATATAGTAAGTTAAGTGATGCCTATGTAGGATTTTCGTGTTTAGTAATGATAGCAGTGTCGTCTGCGTAGGTTGCTGTAAGAATGTGGATACTTTAAGGAATGGTGTGTGTTTATGTGATGTACTGTATTGGGGCTAGGATTGATTCCTGAAGTACACCAGCTAAAATTGGTCGAATTGAGGATAGACCTTGGCCATGTCGAACCGAGAAAAATCTGCCTGAGAGAAAGGAATAAAGAATTAAGTAGCAGGTATGAGGAAGTATGGTCTTAAGCTTGAAGAGAAGCTCTGATGCCATACTTTGTCAAACGCTTGGGCGACATCCAGGAATACTAATGTTGGATATAATTTCCGCTCTAGTGCTGTAGAGATGTAGTCAGTCACCCTGTGCAATTGTTGTGTTATTAAATGTAATTTTCGAAAAACGAATTGATGGTGAGGAATAATCTGTCTGTCTGTTGATATATTTAATAGTCGTGGGTACAATAGTTTTTCGAATAACGTAGAACATACTGGAAGCAAACTAATAGGTCGTTATGAAGAAGGATTGTTAGTATCTTTGTCTGGTTTTTTAATCATGATTATGTGAATATTTCCACTGTATTGGAAATTTGGTGGTCCTGAGAATGCAATTGAAGATTGTGGTTAGAAACACTAGAGCTTTCCTTGGCATTTGCTGGAGCGCCTCAGCATTTATCAAGTCATGACCAGGGGTTTTTCTTTTCGGCAATTGTCTAATTTCTTGTGCAACTTGTGATGGTGTGAAAGGAGGTGGTGGTATTGTGAATTGTAGAAGTATGTCTCAGTTATTTTGTACGAAAATATCATGTTCTGTGTTAATTAAGTCTGTATGTGGTTTAAAAACAGTGGAAAGAGGGTCAGCAAAGAGTTAGGATCTTTCCTCGTCCGAAAGAGCCCAAGATTTATCCTCTCTTCGTAGGGGAGCTGATACCTCACGATGCTTTAAAAGATTTGTTGTATGTCTCCATAAACTTCCATCGTCCGTCGAAAGATTGTTAATAAAATTGTCGTAGTTTGTGCTTTTGAATATGTCTTTTAAGTTCGTTGTTCAATCTGTTAAAAGTTTGGATATTGGTCTCAATTAAGGCTATTAGTCTGCCATACTTTACGTGCTCTTGCTCTGATCAAGTCTGTTATGTACATAGGATAATTGGGCAAGTTCGCTGCTTTTTGTGGCCTGGATGTTGATGAGGACCATGCTGCGTCTTGTATACTTTTTGTGAATCTTTCAACAGTTTCTTCTAGTTCCTTGTGATTTTTTATTTAACAGAAATATTGGTGTTTAAATGGTCTCTATATGCTTCTCAGTCCATGCAGCCTTTTATGAGCCTAGGTCTTTTTGTGCTTCGGAAGGCGCGTCGAAGAAAACCATGTGAACTGAGGAGTGATCAAAATAACGATCAGAACTTGCATTGACGGTAAATGGAACAGTTCTTAGTTCTTTTGTAATAAAGAAATCAAGTAAGTCGGGAGTTTTGCGTCTGAAGGTGGGCCAATAAGTCGGTGAATTTGGAGTTACAGTGTCTAATGAAAGTTCAGGAAGGATAGACCAGAGGAGATTTCTCCCTCTTGGAGTACACAACCTTGGGTCCCAGCCTTGATGCTTGGCATTATAGTCGCCACCTGCGATGAAGCAGCTTCCGAGGTGTTTGAAGAACTCAGAAAACATCGTGGGTGTAAGCTGGTACCTAGAGGTGCAGTAAACTGAGGCAAATGTTATGATGAAGTGTTTTGTGTATAGTATTACTCCTGTCGATTGTATGTCTGGTAAAATGGGTAAGTCTACGGATTATGTTTCAGTGATTTTTTTATGAGTATAGCTGTTCCTCCATGTGCGGTTTTATCTGGGTGACCAGTTCTATAAATAGTGTAAAAATCCTGAATGTAAATTTTTGATTGAGATGTCAGATGTATTTCTGTAATGAGTGCTACGTCGGTCCGTTTTTCGTGCAAGTATAAGTCGAGTTTAGTACTGTGCTGTGTCAGTCCGTTGGCATTCCACAGACCCGTAACCTGTGACAGTCGTTGGAGAAGAATGAAAAGGGCCTGGATTAAGTTATTTAATCCCTTAATTATATTAAATAATTGGGGAGAGCTATTATCTACCGGCGTTACCAGCTAAGTAATGTCTCTCCTCTTCCCTGTACATATTTTGTGATTCTGGTATGCTGTGCTAGATGATGCTTGATTTTGTTGTTGCGGGAGTCCGGCGAAGATTTGTGGTTCCCCTTGGTTGTGACGTTACCTCCTCACTAGTCGTTGGGCCTACTTCAAAAAGCTGCGTATAAAATTGATAGTAAATTTTATTTACTTTTACTTAGTATACGATAATAATTTCGATAAAATGCATAGTTTTCGAGTCATGTCTGAAAAACAAAAAAAATGTTCGAAATGTCACTGTTTTTTTCATATATCTCAGAACGCAATGAAACATTTCGTTCGGGAACATCAAATTCAGATACAACATCCTATAAATAACTAGGAAATTAACTATTCCTGTGCACTTGTGGCACCCACCTTGCACACTCCTATTGACTAAATAATAGAATTACTAAGGGTAACTAACCTATAGTTTTTTTTTGTTTTTTTTTATAGATAAATCGATATGAGAGAAACTGGCAGGTTTTTTCCATGTTATAGTTTTGATATGGTTCCCTCGTCTATACAGTTTTTGAAATTACTAATTCATTATGACAAGATAAACCTTAGCTAAAATATATTTTTCTCGAAAATTATCTTGTGATTTGACATTTATTGGCATTTAGTCGTTATTCAATAGAATATCAATCTTTGTGGATAATCATATTTAATTCTCTTGGAGGTAATTTCAATCTTTGAATTTATGCTATTGTGATAAGATTATATGATATAATACTAACTGTTTATCTCAATCATTTCACTGACTTTTGATGTAATTCTAATAATTATAATCTTTATTTAATAGCGTTTGCAAATTTATTCCCAAAGTTTAATTTACAAGTTTAACCAATATAATACAAATATGTTGACTTTTTAAGTTAATATAGATATAGAGTATTTAGTTAAAGATTAGCTCCCTTGTATGTGTCATTCCTAGGAGTTTGGAGTATAATGTAAAACTAAGGACTGATGTTTAAGTTTTTAGTTAATTCAGTTGTGTTTTAAACCTACTAATATAGTTTGGTTTGCGTTATTTTTACAACTGATATGGATTCATATTCTACAGAGTTTGTGGGTTTTTTGTAATCGCCAATTTATTTATTTTTTGTGACAAACCTACTTACCCCCTTTCCCGGAACTTAAAAATTAGAATCTTTAAAACTGTTATGCTACCTACAGATCTTTATGGATGCGAAATGTTGTCGCTTACATCAAGGGATGGGCAACATCTTAAGGTTTTTGAAAATAAGTATTGAGTCGAATATTCAGACCGAAGAAGGATGAGTCAACTGAAGAAATCAGACAGTTACAGAACACCAAATTGCATGAATTGTATCTGGTAATATAATTGAGCTGATAATGTTGCGGCAATTAAATTGGCTTGTAAAATTATTTGACTTAAAATTAGTAGCAAAATAATTCATAAAAGGTTTATATTTGCTGTGCTGACTGGTAAAAGTCCGAGGAGTAAACTGAAACGAAGGTGGAAGATTGTATTAAGGCTGATCTAAAGGGACTGGTGGAGGAAGAAGTCTAGACTGCAATTGGTGGTTTCAGCATCGTACCTTTGGGTTCACTAAGCCTTTTATTATTATTATAACCTCCGATACCATTGGGAACTGGACATTTTCACCATATTCTATTATTTTATCAATTCTATAAAATATAAATTCAATTTGTCAAAATTTATTCCCCTCACATATCCCTTAATATGAGTTGGAAACTTTGCAGGTGAATAAATATTGTGACACTGAAAATTTTTGAATTCGATATTTCAATGAAAAAATGCATTTTATGGTTTGCTGAGTCCAAATAACCAAGTTTTTAAAGATAGTCTGTATGTATATGAAAAACCTGGCCCAAAAACGAAAATTCCTGTGAAACAACCTTCAACTTTTTTTATATGATAATTTTAGAAATGGGGCATTTTCTCATTAAATTAATTGATAGAATAAAATAATAAATACTCATGAATAACCATTTGTTTTCTACTTTAATTTTAATAAATTTGATGTCAAAATGATAAAAAGACTTAAACAAGAGACTGAAAATACTATACTCTCTTTTAAATTGAAAATCAGACAAAAACTAAATATATACACATAACTAACTCTGTTGGAGATACACCTCTCAGATTTATGGTTTAGTTAAAAAAAACACGCTTAATAAGTACAATATTTTCAATTCAAAATTGTAAGACTAATAACAGCAGCTTCTTGGTACGTATACAGCAAAACTTTACATACTGACTTATAAAAACCAACTGTCGACAACACATGAGTACTCTATAGACCCGAATTTATATCAAACTATCCAAAAATGACAATAGACTTGTAAACGACATAGCTATGGCTGACATTTTTGCTTGTTTGTTTGTGTGAGTTAGGATTAATATAATGATAAGGTTTAAGTAATATGAAGTATAAAGTTGTTGTTTTTTTAGGTAATTAGGAACAAATTAGTCTTTTATGTAAATGCACTATAATTTTCGATAGTATTTTAACTGTGAAATTATGTTCAACACTTATTCTTTGTTTAGATGGCTGCTCAGAAACAAAAGTCTCGTTCATCAAGAGAAGAGCCCAAAAAGAATTCCTTAATTCAAGAACTCATAAAGTCAGATGCTGATGAAGATAAAAATTCCAAAAAAATGGAATTATTCAAATCAGCTGGTTTTGATATGAGGCCTGATTTATCTAAAAAGTATGATTGTTTACATTAGTTCATTAAAACATTTTGTTCTAAAAACTAAGTGTTTTCTTCTGCATTAGGTCGGTTTTACTTAAGGTGGGTTAGGTAATATAACTCAATTGATATTGAGCTTGTTGAATGAAGTGTAGAGTTTGTAGAGAAAAGAAAAATTGAAAGACTTAATTACGTTAGGTTCTAGTTCTGGTTTTGTAATTATTCGGTTCCAATGTTAGCATAAGTGTATAACTTGAGTTAATACTCAAGCATATTAAAATAAATCAAGTTTGATTAATAACAAAATTTATGATTATATGAAACCTGGATCATCTTTTTTTCAAACCACTGCCAATCAACAAACAATCATTTGTACGTTCTTTGTAGTTGACATTGGCAATATTTTTGAGTCAATTAAGTAATAGGATACTTTTAAGTGGCACATGTGCAAGTAAAAATGTCCACTTTGGCATTGGAGTCGATTGTAACATAAACTATATTTCTTTTCTTATTTTTTTACTGACACTTTTGACTGAATGCTAAAACTTTCAAATTCTTTTAAATTGATTTTTATTTCCCTTTTACGCAGTATAATTTCTATTTTCATTGATTTTGCAGATTTAGGTCATTCTCAATCCAAAGTATAATAAGCAAAGTCTTGAATGACAATCTTTATGGCCAAACATACTCACCAGATACAGCCGAGGAATTAACCAAATCACTTGCCACCACCATAAGACTAAAATTGAAAGGTAATATTATCAAGATGTGTATTGAAGTATATTACTCTATCAATTTTTTGAATAAGTTCTTTTTCAAATGTATTTATGTTTCCTATGTATTTTTGTACCAGTTGACCCCAATAGCTTCTTGGAAACATGCTTAAATATTTTACAAAGTGTTAAAAAATTGGATAATAAACAAAACTCTTCTTAAAGTTTATAATCATACCAATACTTTTTTGTGATATACCAATACCACAGCACTCATTTGTAAAAGCCATATCACTTGACTCATTGGATACAAAGAAAGATAAAAATTATTAGATTTGAAAACATAACTCGAAATCCTTAAAACTGCACTGAATACATTTATATCTATGAGTAGTGATAATAAGTATGGAGGAAGAATCATAATTAATGAAAAGCCATGATTTATATATTTTTATAGGTGAAGTCTACGAGAGATACAAACTTATTGTTAATGTTGTGCTTGGGGAAAGGAGGGGTGGAGGAGTGAAAGTCGGAGCAAGATGCTTGTGGGATCCAGAAACAGATTCATATACCTCAGAAAGTTTTGTGAATGTAAGTATTATTTGTTGAAGAATTGACTTCTACTATAGATCATTATTTAATATTTGTTACATTAGTTTGTTTTTTCTCTTCAGTTCTTGTTACAGTATAATTATAGTATAGATGAAATTATACATTTTTTTTCTCTTCATAACAATTTTTGAGAGTTTTTACTTACAAGATAAAGGCTAAAGTTGAAAATCACTATTATTTCTTCTCACTTGTTGCCCATAGGTTTAACAAATTCAACACCCTTAATGTATAATGTTTTCTTTATTTGGACCAATCAAGAGCAATCATTGACCAAACTTGTTAGAGGATTGACCCAATACTGGTGCAAAATTATATGCTGAAGAGGGAGGCAGGGTATCCCCAAAAGGTCGAAATAAACAAAATACTATCAATTAAGGATGTTTAATTTGTTAGACCTATGGGCAACAAGTAAGAAAAAATAATTCATGAGGAATGGTACTTCAAAATTAACAAATCCTTTTTTTTCCAGGAATCACTTTTCTGTGTTGCCTCGGTGTACGGTCTATTGTTCTATTGAAATGAGCTGATTATTATAATAATACCAAAGTCTTTTCATATTGAAAATTTAAAAAAAAAAGACAGATTTTATAAGAAAGTGCCTGATGGAAATGTTTTTATACATTTATGAAATATTAATTTGTAATATTAAAATTTTGTGTTAATTTGAAAAATAATACAATTAAAGTAGTGCGGTGAGCCTTATTTGACAAATAGGTGATTATTGTATATAGATTAAGAAAATATTTTTTACTTTGTAAATATAAAATAATCTCTGTAATTTACATTTCATTTTCATTTTCTTTTCTTTTTTGTATTTTTGTGCATTAGCTATTAAATATTTATTTATTCTTTTAATCATTATTAATTATCCTATTTTTTTTCTGTTGTTTGCTTATAACAGTTGTGCAGACGTCGGTTAAACATTTTTCTACCATTAGTTAAGTTGTTATATCTTGAAAAGTTTATCATAGATATTTGCATTATACAGGTATTATAGTTGCATTTATGCTAGTAAATAATTATACAAGTTAAAAACCAATGTAATTTGTAAGTTAATACCTGCTTTATTGCTTTTAGGTTTGTATGACAGTATGATACACTTGCTACTAGTTTAATGTACAATTATTAAGGAGGTATAAAACTTGAGGACCTCAAGTAAACTTTATTTCATCGTATCATGTTTACATTTTTATTTATCTTTGAGATTACACATAATTTTTTTTCTGTTGGTTGGTATAATCACTTATGACATTTCATTTGGTAGGTTGGTTACTTTCAAATAATTATTGAATCTTGTTCTATTTGATTTGTGTGATATAATATTACAAGTGACAGAAAGTTAATATTAAAGTCAAACCATTTTTAATTTCTGAAATTCTCAGTCTTAATATATTTTTTAAAAAGTATTTTCATTTTACTTCATGAATCAAGTTATAAAATGAACAGAAGTGGTTGTTAGTGCTTGGTAAGCCTCATAAATAGAATAAAAATCATAAATAATAAGTAAGCTATAACTATTTATAAAAGAATTAAAAATCAACATTAGTATATCATCGATAAATCACAAATTATATGATACAATAAATTCTTTATAAATTACAACAATAATTTGTTAACTTCAACTATAAATCTGTATATCAGAGGTAAAATATCATATCTTGAGTCCAATATGGCCGATTTTAATTTTTGTTATTTTATTAATACTATTGTTATGGCCTTATTTTCCAAGTACGTGTATTCTAGATAAACCAAGATTCATACCTTGTTTTATCGAACTTTAATTAGAAACTCAACACCATTATAAAGATAGGTCACTGACTCCAATTTAGAACTTCTTTTTGCTCTTCTGAATACTTTTGAAAATATTGTTTTTGACAATTTACCTCTAAGATACGAAAATGATTTAACATAAATATTTCCTCTTTTATATAACAAATTTATTTATTCAATAACATCTATTTATATTTATAAAACCTTGTGATAATACTTATTTTTTAATAAAGTGCTTTATAAACAATAATAGTTTAAAATGGCAATAATCACAGTGATTTATTAATATTATATTTTTATCTATTTTAAAGATACATACTTCATTTATCTGTGATATTGTACCCATAACATGAACACAGCCTGTAACGTCATAGTAAAGTAATAATTGTACGAACATCGGTCATTAGAACTACTAGTCTGATCTTGAATCAAGATCAGTCCTAGCTATATTAATAATCAAAAATCTGTAGATAAAAATTGCATTTATTACATTAATGAAATTGAGATTCATTGAGACTGTCGCATCACATTTTCCCCTCCCTCCACCCTAAAAAGGTGTTATTTCTGATTGTATCAGATCATTATTATACATTCTATCAGTTCTGTTGCTTCCATTCAACTTTGAATGCAAGACTCATATGTCGGTATCATATACTTTATATTAATAAAAGCATCTTTTCCTCCATATGTTTCTAACATTTCTAATGTCTCTTGAACAAGCTCTCCAATATTTTCACGCTTTTGCTGACTGTAGTCTATATCAGCACCTATGTTGACTAAAGAAAATTAGTTATAATATCTTTTTCATTTTTTATTTCTAAAGAAATTTGGTTGTATAATATCTTAAAATTAAGTTTAACTTTAATATGGGACAGATTTATCATTAATTTATGAATGAATCATTAATAGATGTCTTTAGGACTATTATTTGATTATATCATATATAAAATAATTTCATGGTTAACACATAGTATACATATAATAAATGCTGTGAGATATTAAAATGTATCTTCATTTTTTAGTGGTAACAATGTCTAATGTATTTTATTTTATTACATTATAAAATGCTTAGTAAAATAACAATTACTTCCAATAATCTTACTATTTAATGTAACCAGAAGTAATCATTTTAAATATTTTAAAATTAAGGATTAAGATTGATTATTAACTTTTACTATGTTAAATGATACACAAATGGCTTATTTTTTTAAAAAATATTGTATTCTCATGTTAATTTTTATTCATTTGCTTGAATAGTAATCCGTTAATGATTTAAAAAAAAAAATTAATTTTGTTGTCAATGAACATATTGGACCCAAATTCAGCTTTGATTTATATTTTCAACTACCTAATACAATTTTAGACCTACTTACCATTGAGAGACTTGTACAAATTGAGAGGAGGAAGTATCTGCCTATAATATGGTACCAATGCTTCTCCGATAGTTTCACTGTTTGAAACTAAGACCTGCAGTATCTTTAATGTGGCTGCTATGATTGTTCTATTTTTTGTATTCAGGGCATCTAATATAAAACTAAAATTAATTTATTGTTGTGTTCAAACTTTAATTAAAATTAACAGTAAGTTTTGCATTTATTATGTTGAAATGTATTTTTTTTTTCGTTCAAAATCATTTATAATTATAATGATCTTTTTATCAATATTACTTTTATTATATTCCCACCGCATGTAGAATATGTGGTTTTTAATTTGATAATCAATAGTTTGGCAATAATGTTGTCTCTAGGGCAATAGTTACTAGTTTTCAAAATAATGCATATCAAGATCAAATTGAAAATATATCATTAGGTTCACCTTTCCTCATTTAATAAATAATATTTGTTATTTGATAGTATCAGGTCAAAATGTTTCTTCTTAATTTTTCTAAATTGATGCAACAAATCAGATTTCTAATATAAAATGATGCAATTATGTTTCATTAGTAAAGCATTTTTTGGGAACAGATATTTATTTAATTTTTTCTGAGAATGATTTTTTCTTTCTCACCGTTTACTCTTCATTAAGTTTTCAAGTACAAACTAGTCATTGACATACACAATTTATTATTTAATACATTAATTAATATTTAAATTTATTTACTCTTTTATGTTTTTTCTTTAAAAGTGCAGTAAAAAAACAAAGAAGCATTCTTCAAGCATGATTTCTTGAGTTTACTTACTTTTAATTGGAAGTATAAGTTGAGGTAAAACTGGCAATACTCTTTTTTTCCCATTAAGTAATAAATCTTTAATGCCTTCTTGAGCAAAATAGGAATATGGATATTCCACTTCACAGAGCCCATTGAAAAATAGTGGTAAGTGGTAGGCATAGTCAATTTCATTAATGTTTACCTTAAAATATATAATATTTTCCCTTTAAAATAAAATTAAATGAGGTAGAACAATAAAGTCAATTTGGTTCCATTTTGTAGTTTTTATTTGTAATGATTACTGTGCTCTCTTAATAACTAATGTCGAGATGAAAAATTAGGTTTTCTAAATTAATATATTTTTAAAGTTAAATTAAGGAGTTATAATTATGTGTTGATTAAATTGATGGCCTGGTTAGCAGTCAAAAATACTTCGAATTAGTGGAAAATGATAAAATAAATAATTGAAGTAAGTTTGTCGACTGTTCTACATATCATGGGTGATAAATATTCAGGACGCAGTCATTATAAAGTTTTTATTAGTACCGACATTTCAACCCAAACATGTGTCATCATCAGGGCTTGTTTCGAGCATTCATTCAAGGTATTTGAGCACTGAAACACCCTGATGTTGACCCACGTGTTTGGGTTGAAATGTCGGTACCAATAAAAAAAAATTTATAATTACTGTGTCCTGAATATTTATCACCCATGATAAAATGAAAAGTTTCCATTATTTTATTCTTGACCAGATCTTTCTCAAGTTTTTTAAGTATCAAAAATGGTTGAAACTTTTTAGTTAGCTATGTGTCATTAATTGTTAAATTCTCCAAAATAATTTAACAAAGCTTTAGAGATAAAAATACTTTTAGAAATATTTTTTGGATTGTTAAATAAAGGATCCTAATTTCAAATAACGATCATTAACCGATTATGTATTTGTTGAATAAAAAAATATTACAGCCATTTGTAATCTAGTTTTATAAAGCTGAGCTTAATATATTTTTGTCTTACAAGATTTTTGAGATGCTATTAAAATTATAGCTATATTTACCTTCCATGCCACTTTTTTTCCAGTTTGATCAAATTCCATAGCTATTGGAAAATCTCCTCTTTCATAATGCCTCCTAAATACGGTGTTTCCAATTGGATATGGCTTTGTAACTGAGTTTTTCTTTGAGCTAAATGGTTCAACAATTACATTCCTATGACAGTTAGCTTGAATTGAAAAAGGTGGTACAACAAGTGGTGGAGTCAGTTTTTTAATTCCACTTTTTATTTGCGTGGTTCGAGAATAGTGCATCTTTGCTGTACCAGGTAAATCAGTCTTTTCATAATTAAATAATACCATCCCTATTCACAATTCTAATATACTGCTTCTTAAATTTGCTCTTGATTCTAAAATTTCTAGTGTAAATTATGCCTACGGCCATTCTGACTAAGCCTACTGAACAATATCCTTCATATCTTCAACCAATGTTGCTTGGTTACTGCATTGATCAAGCAGTCAAGTTTCTTGTCAACATTGGCCTAATTATTTTTTTCTGGGTCAATAGGTAAATAGTTCAACTTTGGAAAAGCAAAAAATGTGGTAAATCTAAATGTCGAATTTTCAATTTTATTTTTAATTAAACACTCTTGTCCAAAAAATCAGGAGATAGAATATGTTACTAATTATTAAACAATTGTATTACATATATTAAATATAAAACGATAATATGCTACATATAAATAGTAATTAGTATGGTTTATGATTGAATGATTACATTTCATCTTGTACTATGAATTTTATTTATTTATTTTAAGTGTATAAATTAATGATTAGCCTAAAATAGAATTGAAGTATGGTAGAACATCCCTTCTCAGAAATCTCATTTGTAAAATAATGATAGATAAAAATTCTGGATGTTAGTGCAGGATGATTATACACCTTTTTTTATAAAAAAAAAAAAGAGGTTTTAACAAAAAAATCCTAAATTGTTCATCTTGATGTGAATGCTTTTCTTTCGTATAAACATCTTTATTATTTTCTATTAATGAAGCTAATTATCTTTCTTGTATAATTCGAATTTGACTATTTACAGTAACTTAATTAATTTTAATCTTAAATAAATGATATAATTTTTTTTTATGTGGTTTGTTTAAAAATCAGTAATTATTTACTTCGTTGAATAATTCTAGAAAAATATGGTTCATTCAATTTTTACTAGTGAAGAAAAATTGATTCATAGGTTGGTATAATGTACTTGATGTTAATGAAAGCGTCGTCGCCACCATGCTTTTCAAGCAATTCTAGTGTTTCCTGCACCAATTCGCCAATATTTTCTCTTTTCTGTTGACCATAGTCTATATCCTGTCCTGTATTAGCTAAAAACAGAAGTTTAAAATTATGTTTCAAAAGTTTAGTGAAAATCGTGGACAAAAAAATCTTAAGAAAATTGAATGATGAAAATCCTAGTTTAATTTACTTTAAATTGGTGGAGCAACATTTATGTGATTTCTTTTTTTTTTTTTATAGAATATCACTGTCATGACTCATTTTATGCCAAAGCTAAATGTTAAATCTCCAATTAACCTCCACATAGTTTCAATTTGTAAGTTTCTCGAATATTTCAAATGGTAATAATAATAACAATAAATACATTACAATATTAGAGTAATATGAGGTGTAGTTAGATGCTAGTTTTAATTCTTTCTTAGAGAAGTTGAAGGCTGTTGTTATAAATTCTTTTAAGCATGTTTAAAAGATTTTTCAATGAAAGAGATTTTATTTGTTAAATAATGATTATAGTCTAAACTATATTACCATTCATTTCTCTGTACATGTTGAGGGGAGGAAGGATTTGTCTGTAATATGGTACCAATGCCATGCCAATCCCTCCAACACAAGTTAGCATTGCTTGTATTATTTTTAATGTCTGGCCAATAACTGCTCTATTTCTTGTATTTAATGCATCTGAACAGAAAAAAAAACAAACACTATATTTCATGTGATATAAACAGGAACACAAGATTTTTGGCTCTACTCACTCTTGATTGGCAAAATGAGTTGAGGTACTGATGGTAGAACTTTCGTTCTCCCACCAAAGTACAGTAAGTCTTCTATTCCTTGTTGTGCATAAAAATTATAGGGGTACTCAATCTCACAAAGTCCAGTGAAGAAAACTGGCAAATAGTACTGATAATCTATCTCTTTTATGTTGACCTGTGATGTTAATTTATTATTAAAAATTTTAATTATTAGATTTACATTTCTTGTATCATTTTTTTTTAATTTTCTTAGTTTAATGATATATATATATTTTTTATTTTTTCGGTTGGCGCTACAGACAATGAAGATCTTTGACCGCGAGATGTGGTCTCCTAGACCACATCCCGATTCCCGATTTAAGTGCACGGGGGTAGGGTCATCAGTCCTATGCCCTGTCAGTGTGAGTGGCCTCCTGTGGGCTGACAGGGCTCACATACCCGGGGGAGGAGGAAGAATCTCGGGCAGCTTAGCTTTCCCTGGTGGGCGGTCACTCATTCAAGTGTTAACCATGCTTGGCGTTGCTTAACTTGGTTACCTACTGCAAGCACCTTAGCCCACACGGCTACTCCAGCCCCCATATATATATATATATATATATATATATATATATATATATATAAAGGAGTAATATGATTTATTAATTTTTTAATGTCCATAAAAAATCGATTTATCATAAAAAAAGTCATGTTTATCTTTTTTTTAGTGTAATATAACTTCTAAAATGTTTGATGGTATGGATTTTCCTTACATGATTTAATTAATATATAAATTCATTGACTATAATTTGATGCTTGTTTTAATTAATATTGTTTTCAATAATATTTTACTGAACAGTTTGGAATTTTAAAAAAAAATCTTTAGATATTATGTTTTCTTGTGTAACAGCCTTTGAGTGAAAAAAAAATAAATAAAAAAATGCATGTGTGTGTCTAAATGATCCATAATTTGTTTTGGAGGATGAGGAAGGTTTAATTCAAAGGGTCTGGTAAAATAGGAAGGACGAATATGGCAAGTTGTCCTTTTGGTCCTTTTTGCCAAAAATTCAAAGGGAAATAGAAATACTTTTAAATAACAGAATAAATCAATGCCAAATAAATTGTTATGAATTGAGTAGACACATAAAGAAGATAATGAAAGAGTGGCAAGATGAAGTTAAAGAAGCAAAGCTTAATTCGTGTTTAGATTTTGTCGAGCTGAACTTCAGCTTCTGACTGGAAAGGGTCCCTATAAACTCTGAATTATTAAATTTGTACCTCCTCTCAAAATGATAATTATAGTTCCAAAAAAATTTAATAATAGTGAATTTTGATTATTTTTTACAAACTTCCGATTTATAATTTTCAAAGTAACATAACATTTTTCTTGATCGGTGCTGTAAAAAATAATAAAGTTGGACAACTGGATCAATATGAAGTTTTTTATCAGAAATATAATTTTTTCCCCTGTTCTCAACGAGGTTGTAACATCTTTACTTACTTCTCTATAAATAAATAAATATATTTTAATATTAGAATTAATATTTTATTACTAAGTTATTAGTATAACTGTTGAAATGGATTAATGCAAAATATTCCATAAATGTCTATCATAAGTGTTACTTCAATCGTGTTTGAGTTAAAGCCTTCATGAGGACTATTATGGCTAAGATGACTGTTAAAAATTCTTAATTTTAATTATAATAATAAATTATCCTCATTTATTGGTATTGAACTACAATATTAAATATATATCTCCTCCCCTCCTGGTATCATTTAAATATTTTAGTATACTTTTGACTAACTTCTGTTCACAATTTTAAAAATGTGATTGAAAAACTGCTAAAAATGCATTCGTAATATTTTAATACATGTTATGGTATTTGGTCTAGATTATTTATGAACTATGTAAAATTGCATTTACTTTGAAAATTACCAATATATTTCTATCATAATTAAATTTAGAATATAAAAAAAACATGTATTGAGGTGGTGAGTTGTTTAATCAATGTTTCATGATTAAGTAGAAATAACTCATAAGAACTTATTCGGGGTTGCTGTCAATATATAAAATACTATATTACATAATAGTATTTTTATTGTTGTTGTATTATGTAATATTGTGTTTATATTGACTGCACCCCCTACCCCCCCCCTCCCCCGATTAACTTGTTCTGAAATTAGAACCTACGATCAATCATCTCCATACAATTAAGTATAAATAACCTTTGAATAAAATAAAATGATATCCCGAGCAAATATAAATTTAAAATTTTTTTCAAGATGAGATGTGATAAATCTATATTTTTATTTTTCCCACCTTGATCATGTTATTTTGATATAATATCTACTAGTGTAGTTGTAGGTTAAATTACTTAAATATATACCTTCCATGCTATCTTCTGGCCAAGAGATGGATCAAATACCATAATTATTGGGAAATCACCTCTTTCATAGCATTTTCGAAACAGTGTTTCACCTACTGGATAAGGTTTCGTTATCATTCTTTCATTTGGTTTAAATGGTTCCACGATTACATTTTTTCGTCTTAATGATTGGATACTAAAAGGAGGTACAATCTGTAATTTTGCTTTTTTTACTGGTTTACTAATGACTGGTATGTTTTTCTGGTAGCATAGTTTATCAGGGCATTGATATTGATTCTTCCTTTCAGAAAATAATGACATAATGCAAAAAAAGTAATAACTTAAGTTAAGATCTAAAAATATTATGAAAGATAATATCTTTCTTCTTATTTAAATCATGTATTTATTTATTTAAATTAGTCACATGTTGTGCTAACACCTGTAGCTATCTAATACAAAATGTTTTTGTGAAATAAAGATGTTTTTATTCTTAAATCTTTAGTAGTTATTTGAAAACATTTACACTAATCAGATATACAAATATACAATTCAAGCTCTAAATTATAGCAATAATTAATGTTGATTAAAATTGTTAACATTAAAAACTTCTGCAATGTCTACACCAATGTCAAATTTGAGAAAAACATCCTTGCCTTCTGAAAAAATAATGTAAACTATAGATCTTAACTTTTAGGAATATAAAGTTCATAAATATTTGTTTTAAATATTAATACAGTTTGTTTTGGCAGCCAAAATGGTTTGGGATTCAGAACTAAAGGACCGATGCCACTAGAAGCAGCAGTATATTATATCAGAAGTAATATATGTTATTACTATTTTGATTAATCTATAAATGTATTAGTTTGTTAATACTGATATTTTCAGTTAATAGGATCAACAGATGGTTTCTTTATTTATTTTCTTTATAACCTTAATTATATGATTATTCAAAGATAAAAATTTCATGAATAAATCTGAAACTATGTATTAGTTAACCAAAATAAACAGATTTATTATTTATTATCATAATTACGTGATGCATGAATTTGTGGGAATAAATATGAATGGATTGATGGATTCAATACCTGGATATTTATATATTGTTTGTATTTTTTAATGGAATGATCCTTATGTTATTATACAATAATGTATCTCTTACTATTTCTATTGCATTTAAATCATTACCAAATCACCGAACACAGTACGCAGACGAGTTTCTGTTGGTTACTTGGTTCTCCAACAATTTATTGCAAATTATGATCTTAATAATTTAGAGTCATCAATGTATGGCAGTAGGGTATTGACAAAGATAAAATATTTGAAGTAACTTTTTTGGTTTGTTGTTCTGAATATGTACGAGTCCAAGATTGACCAGAAAAGCTTAAAACCATAGGTCATTACCTTTCTTTTGCTGGTAAAAAGTTGTATGAATACAAAAAAAGTTCTAACAAAAATTTCTTCTTTCCAATTATAAATTAACTAGTCATGAATTCTTCAAAGCACAAAAACCAACTTCGAGCCATGGATATGCCTGCATTAACGGAACAGAAACTGAGAAGATTTTTGTGGTAAATGCCATGAACCGTGATCTGAAAGATTGAACAGACCCTGCTCATGTAGTTTGGTGATGTTCCTAACATGTCTCATATATATCCAACTGACTTGGCTCATATATACAACAGAAGTAGAAGGAAGACATGTGAGAGATCAAAGGATCAGTTAGTCGAGGTTCATAACTCTCGAGTTAAGCTCTTAAAGCTGGCTCCTCATCCTGTCATTTAGTGAAAGAGGATCCAATTAAGTAAGTGAGTACTAAGATTAATTTTTTAGTAGAACATAAAGTATATTGTTATCCTTAATTTGGAAGTATTCATGTGTAAAAGATCTGCAGTCTGTCTTTGTCAATTAACATATTCTGATGCTACAGTTCTCAAGTTAAAAAATGCTCCCTGTTTATTTTTTATTTAAAATTGGTCATATACTTATTAGATATAATTATTTACATATGTTTTATACATTATGGCATATTTTTATAATAATTAAATAATATTTCTTTTTTTTCCTGTATCACTACAACCCATGAAGAGTCTTGGATTCAATATTTTGTTAGGAAGTACTGTTTCAAGGCTAACAGTTGTGCATGGGGGTGGGTGATCGGGCAAGGATTATGCTCAACTGCTGGATTTTCCCTCTTAATTAATGATTTAATTTTTGCTTTTATTTATTTTTTTTTTAGTTGTTTTATAAGTAAATTAAGCCAGCTGAAGGCCGGGCATCGACTGACTATATCTCATGAGCTGTTCCCTCCACTAAATCCTCTACTCCAACGTATTACCATTTGTGGGAAGTTAAGAAAATTAGAAATAGGCAGCAGAGAACCTCAATGGATAAGGCACTGACTTTATAAACTGAAGGTCATAGGTTGGTAGGGAGACCCTCCTTGGGCACACCCTGTCTCTATAAAGTGGGCACTCTTAATTAAGAGGAAAAATCCTGACAGTTGTGCGATATCCTGGCCTGATCACCTCTCTGCACAACTGTTGGTCTGGAAATCAGCACTTCCTTAGTGCTGCATGGATTGTAGTGGTACAGGTTTTTTTTATTATTTTTTATTTTTTATTTTTATTTATTTTTTATTGAAATAATTGAGGCTGTTATTTTTCCATCATATATTTATTCATTCAACAATCTTCCCCTAGATGGTAACGTTTCGGCCATTACTCCACCTTCAATCCAATTGATTTATTTTAGCACTCAGTACTGCATAATTAGATTACAGTAAGTTCATTAATTATGAGTGATTAAAATAAATCACTTGGCTTGAAGATAACAGCTGAAATGTTGCTATGCAGGTGAAGATTGTTAAATGAATAAATATATGGTGAAAAATAACAGCTCAAATTATTTCAATTCTTAAAAAGAATTGAACTCACCCCAAACTTAATAAAATTATATTTATATATATATAATTGGCAAATGCTTGCAATAAAAAACTTTGATGTATTCTTTAAAGCAGCAGATACCAAAGATATATAAGTAATGTAATACCTTTTTAAAAGATAAAAACAATTAAATTATTGCAACTGATTCAATAAATAATTAATATAGGCTTTTGTAAACAAATAATTCATCTGGATACTTTCAATTGGAGTAAATATCTGCATTCATTAATTAATCAAATAAAAAATTTAAAATAACAGGACATAAATCAAATTATTATTTGGAAAACTCTATTAGAATGCAGTACAGTTGTTCCTAAGAAGAATTATTAGATAATGTTCCTTATCCAATAAGTGGGCAATGTTACTTACATTCTTCAAATTTTGATAACCTTAAACCAATTTTCTAGTTATAAGTATTGGTATTTCATTCAAGTAATTGATTTACATAAACTCAAGATTTTATGTATTAAACCTTCCCCAAGTGCCTTATAAAACTTTGAATCATATATAATAGTATTTCATTAAGAAATTATAAGTTTCTGGAGCGAATGATCACTTTAAATGGAGAGATCTCGTTCATTTTGCAATAAAAATTGTAATTGAATTTAAGAACAATTTAGTAATTATTACTTTACCGACTTATGATATGTTATACATTTATATATTATTATACTGACTTCATTAATGAACTATTACTGACAGCATTCAGTAGTATGTCAGTAGATGATTGGAAAACCTATTGTTCCAATAGCTGATTTGGTCCATATGTCACTAACTCTATGACTAAATATCAGGCTATACTTAACCCTTAGATATTGCTAGGGCAAATCGCATTAATCTTATGTGTTTCATCAGAAGGATGGCTTTTCTGAGAACTTCTAGGTTGTCAGAGGGTTGTGAAGAATATCAATTAATATTCCTTTTATATTGATTAATCCTAACTAAGTTTTATTATTTATAAATTCTTAAGGAAGAATATGTATTTGATTTTTGTCTAGATTCTCCTCCAGAGTTAATGGATAAGGAAAATATGATCAATAACATGAATAATAGACTGGCTAACTTAGAAAATGAAATGGTGGGTGTAAGAAAGGAATTATCTAAAGCCATAGAAGTAATCAAAAGAAAAGATGCTGAAATCACAAAGCTTAAACAACAAGTAAAATAAATCAAATTCATATAAAATTTATCATTGTTTTCAAGTTAGTTATTAAATGGGTTCAATTACCTTATCCATTAAAATAAATAGTAAACCTATATTTTTATTTCCACTTACCTATGCATGAAATACATAGTAAGGGACAGTATTGCGATCCCGAAAATTTTCGAATCTGAGTTTTCAAGGGAAATACATGTTTTTAGGTCTCCTGAGTCCAAATAACCAAGGCCCACAAAATGGTATGTGTGTATGTGTTTTTGTGTATGTTTGTGACCAGTCTAGCTCAAAAACAAAAAGTCCTATGAAAGTAGGATGCATATTTAAGGTTTGTATATACCTCAGATGTTACAACAACTTTTTCTTCAAAATCAGCTAACCGGAAGTGACACTTTATATAATCGATGTTAAATATTTTCACGATTTTCTCGAAAACGAATAATGATTTTGATCAAACTCATATCAGTGTATTACTAAGTTGTTTATATTATCAGCTAAGTCTCATCCACATTGATTTCACTTTACAGGGCTTAAATGCTAAATGTTCATATAAACCTTCCTCTTAAGTACCTTTAATTTGGTTTATTTAAAAAAAAATTAACTCTCTCGTTGTGAGAAATTATGAAAAAAGCTTAAATATAACGTTTGAAAGAATTTGATCATTGAATAAAGGAGAAAAAAAAAATGCTTATCCACTCGAAAATGAATCTCCGAAAATAATAGCCAGAAGGTATACGTATAATATATCGTTCGAAAGCGGAGAATTTTAGAAAAAAAAAAAACTATCTAATCAATAAAGTTGTAGAAAGTAACGGAGAGTAACGAAAAACATATAAATAATAATTTCTGAAAACTAACATAATTTAACGTAAATCACATGTTTCCAAGGAAATTAAATGATATTTACTCACTAAATGTAAAACTGCTAAACATTTTTTTAAGTTTGAAAAAGCATTTAAAATCTACCGGATCAAAACAATGACATTGTTTAAAATACTATTTCATTGTACTTGTATGAAAGAAGAAGTGAAATATAAAAATATTTCATGGATGCATAAAGCATATGTTTATAACCTTAAATACACTTACTTGTAGTTTAGTAATTCTAGTAATAGAGAGAGAATCACTTTATTATCATGAAATGGTGCTGCCCAATTACATTGGGTTGCTAAAAACACAGCATACTTATTAATCACTACAGACAATTTTTAAAATAATATATA